CCCTCCCGCGCTAGCCTAAGGGCCACCTTAGCAAAGCGCATCCCAGGCTGCATAGCCGCACTACCCTACCCAACCATACCACACATAAACATGACACTACCCCCGGGGTTTACACAGACGAGCCGGCGAAGCAAGAAGAGCGCCAGAAGAAAGGGCCCTAGCCGGCGGGGCCCAGCCAGGACAAAAGGAGGTCCCACAAAGCGCCTACACCGGCCGCATTTGCGGTCGGGGTAGACGACGGATGGGGCCCACCTACGAAGGCTGTCCAGGCCTACACGAGATGAGGCAGGATAAAGAGGGATAATCCCCCTCGATCCCAAATCATTGAGGCCAATTTCTAGCCATAGAATAATGGCGCGGTCCTATATTTGATAGACATTCTTATCATCAACTGGTGATTGGCCAGTTATTATTCGTAGTGGGGAACTAGGCAACCTATCTGTTTATAAGCCTTGCGCTACAGTAGCCAATCGAAGGAATTCAGTCTCTTTTTCTTAGAAGTGCAGTGAGTATTGGTACAACGTTTGGAGGAAGAAGAATTAGTGAGTTGCGTATAATTTCTATAGATGGCGCAGTACGAGAGTTCATTTGTTTACATTGCAGCATGTTAAATGTCACTTTCAATATTCAAATGAGTTTAAAAATAATATCGAATTATAACTTGATATGGGCAACAGTTGTTGTGCAAAAAGAAAAATAAAAGGGTATTGTATTAAAGCTGTTTGTTATTAAATAATAACTTGTATAATCTACGCACTTTGCTAATTCTGATCTTTTAGGTGTATCAGTAATGAGCATGTGGCAATGTTTGTATCGATATTCCTTAAAAATATATGTTTAATTTCAGGCGTATCGTACTTCTGTTAGTTGGTCTAGATAATGCAGGTAAAACGAAGGCAGCAAACACTCTGGCAGGTGATCTTTTAAATTCTCCTGTGCCTACAGTGGGATTTTCTGTTGTTAATCTCAAATATCTATCCTATAATATTAAAGTGTTTGATCTTGGAGGAGGGCCTAACATAAGAGGAATTTGGAAACAGTACTTTGTCGATGTAAGTAAATGAAGAAATTAATAATTTTTATCTGTCAACAAACCTTTCAGGCCCATGGAATTATATTTGTTATTGATTCAAGTGATTATTCCCGATTTGATGAGGCAAAATTTGTCCTTGAAGATCTTCTACATGACGACAAAATTGCAGGAAAACCAGTTCTTCTCTTGGCAAATAAACAAGATCACAAAAATGCACTGGATGAAATTGACATCATTGAATATTTAAATATTGAACAATTGGTAAATTTGTGCAAGTGTCCTACATTGGTGCAGAGTTGTTCAGCCTCGGAAAAAACCAGTAACAAACTAGATCCAGGTATCCAAAAAGGTTACGAATGGTTAATGGAAAGTATTATTAAAAATTATGACACGTTAAATAAAAGAGTACAAGACGATGTTAGAGAACAAGAGAAGAAAGAAAGGGAAGAGATGCTGGAAAAGATTAAAAGAATAAAGGCTATGCAAGAAATCGAGCAAAAGAGAAAGGACGAGGACGCTATCGAGTTGTACTCGGATTACACACGTAAACTAAACAGCAATGAAAAGAACAATCAGATTCCCATCGACGTCGCCACGAGGGACGATAATGGCGACGACTCGAGTGAAAATTCTTCTATATCATTCCCTCCCGTATACCATAACAACATTAACGATAGTGCCTTATCCGACAGACCAAAATCCGCAGTACAAATAGTAAAACATCAGTTACAACTCAATAGTGGTATAAAGAGGACCTCGTTGAAATCGAGAAATAATAAAACGGCCCCGATGAACTTGTACGGAATTAAGTTGTCACATTCCGCTAAAGAAAGACAAAAAGAGTTTACCAGTCAGAGGCGTAATTTGAGATCGGCGGACGATTGTTTATTTACCATCAGCAGCAAGATGCCCGTTACCAATTTTGACCACGTCAGATGTATCGGTAACAACCACCACGGGGATCATATTCATTTAAATAATCACGATAAAGTGAACAAGTTACCTCCCTTAAATATAAAGAGTAAAGATGTGCCTTGGATTCATAAAACGCTAAATGGTGATAACGTTATAAGTGTTGTAGATGTTGATTAGTTTACAGTTATAAATGTACTTTTATATAGCGTAAAAATATTTTCTAGTTGTTTTTTAATGTATTTTTATATGCACCGTAAATCACGATCTCGTTTTGTAATTATTAACTGTTCAATAAAAACAATTCCTCTGAATATTTTATTTTAAAACTTTCTTGTCTCGCCCTATCTAATATACAAATAATCATATACATATCTTCTACATTTACAACTTATAATAAAAACGGAATTGGTAGCAAACATTTATGATTTGCACCATCAACAATATGCCTCATAATGCCAACAATATAATACAGTTTGGTAGATAATAAATAAACAGTATTTCACAATATAAAATTTACTATTATTTATGTACATACCTTATTATAGGAAAAAAATTCGCCTAATAACAAGAAGAGTTATGACGGTTACAATTATCCAAATAGCTGCTGTCCAAAATTTATCTCTAAAAAAATTAAGGGAATGAATTCTTTGCAAACGTCTAAGAGACAGGCTACACAAGATGTATAACATTTAAGGGAACAAAATAACTTACTTGTTGCTTCTCTCTATTGAAGTTTCTAATAAAATGTCTGAAACTGGTCCACGTGTGGAATCGGTGTTAGTTATGACTGCAGTAGCGGCAATCCTTTGACGTATTTCCGCATTTTCAACATTATTTTGTGTACTGGTCTCGCTCTGTTTCTGTTCAACTTTCGGTTCCTTTCGATTAGCTTCTTCTTCTGCCTATTAAAATTGATATTCATACTTCAAGATAATGATTAAAAATGAAGACGTGATTTATATGCAGTTGCAATTCAACAGCAGCGGCTGGTGAAATTTTAAATGGTTATATTTGAAAAAAGTTCAAAAGAAAACTGAAATACAAAATTACCGACCCTGAAATCTCGAAAACAGATGCACAAATATGTGAAAATATTTACCTTTTTTTCATAAGCAACATAGACGTTTATTTTATTTTCTACAAGACCATAAAAGGAAACATTTTGAAATTTATTAATTACCTACTGGGTGTGATTTTATTATTGGAAAGTCTTGGGAATGATAATACAAGAGGCGTCTCATCTCGTGGGTCATGAAAAAAGTATAGCGTTATTCTTTTTAATCAACAAATAAATAGGTAAAAAATTCGTCATTTTTTGTTCTACGTGTTATTGTAAAAAAACTATTAATCTTAGCAAAAAATGTTCAACAGACGATTTCATCTAGAGAAACTCATCTATAAAATGAGACTTTATAAGTTAAAATTGCTTTATAAACAAAAAATTTATTGCAATATTAAATGGAAAAAGTGCTTTTTCTTTAGTTGTTAATAACTTTTTAAATAATTAATAAAATCTTACCAAACTTTCCCCAATTGTGAGTTTTTATATCCTTAAGGGATGTGCAAAAGATCGGTCAAATAGTTTTTGCAAAATTCCATTTATTTATCCCATTTTTGCAAAAAAAAAAACATTTTCAAATGATAATTGTTATCAAATAAAAGGCACTTTTTTCCCTAATAAACAAATAAAATAACTCCACGGTTTTTAACTTTTGAAAGAAGTTATACACACCATTCGAAAGTTCGTAAAAAAACCTACAAATTGAAAAAATAAGTCTACGACCAATAGGTCCGGAGTTAGCAATTTTTTTACAACTAAATTTGAAAAAAAAATTAATTTTAACTAGGGGATACTTGGTGTCCCTTCGAAGAAAATGAACCCAAAAAGAATATTTTAGTCATAACCCTGCCCCCGGAATAGTCATTTGAAAACGGGCCTTTTTTGCAAAAACGGGATAAATAAATGGAATTTTGCAAAAACTATTTGACCGATCTAGACCATCCTTTGCACACGCTATACTTTTTTCATGACCCACGAGATGAGACGCCTCTTGTATTATCATTCCCAAGACTTTCCAACAATAAAATCACGCCCAGTAATTTTCACGATTTTTCAATGATTTTCACCTTTATTTCTTGGTCTAACATTTCATTTTCCAAGTTTCATAATAATGTAACTTGTATGAAAAATAAAAATTTTGAGAACAATAAAAAAAATAGTTGTTTGTATCTATTGATTACGAAAAAAGGAAAAAAAATTGCAAATGTATGCGTATTTCAGGATTTCCAAGTCGGCAACTCAAAATTTCATTTTTGATTTCGCAAACTTCTACAACTTATTCGTCATAAAATTTCTTTAGTGGGTCTAAAAATCACTCTTAAAAAAATTGTATGGATCCTATATTTTATTACAAAAATACAACCATTTTATTTTCCACCTCCTACTAACTAAGACCGTTGAAGGAAATGATAAATATAATTTTATTTCATTAATAAATAATTGAATACATAACTATTACTTCTATTTAAAATATAATTTGATGATGAAATTGAACTTTAACATTCCATATCTAAAAAAAAGTATTTGCGTTTTTGCATACAAATGTTAGTGAAGTAAAATCTGCCATTACATTTAGTTATACCCAGTTAAAAGACAATAATTAAAATATTATTTACTGATTATTTACTTCTTTAATGATTATTCTCTTATCAGCTAAAAATAACGTCCTTCTTCATTAATAGGCTTTATCTCGTTATCGATACAAAACCTAGATTATGTTGTCACCATACTCAAGTGAGTACTGAAAATTTTAGACAATTTTTGCCTTACCTTGAGGGCAATTTGTTTCAATAAAGAGGACTCCTCTTGGGTTAATTCAGGGCTGGTACCATTTTGTGATGACAGTTTCTCAGATATTTTACCACAAGTGGGACATTCCCATGACTTAGATTTTTTGGCAAGAATTTGTCGTTCTTCAGCTGTATAATCCAAAGATCCGATAGTACCAGCTGCTGGTGTCGGCATAAATGCTATTAATGCCAACAGAGCTGTTCGAATTGACCATGACGGTTGCCAACTTTCGGGATGGTGTCCTGATATCGATAAACAAATCTTTTTGTTCACTTCAAATCTTCCATTGGGCTGAAAACAGAACAAAATCAGTACTCTGAACCGTGTTTGCAAATTCATTCCTTACAGTTAGTAATATTATGTTGGGTGGTTGCATAGGATACTGTGAGGGTAGCAAAATCCTGCCGTGATAGAAACCTCCTTCAAATTCTGTAGAAGGAGGGCCGCGTACTGTAAAATGCCATTCAAATAAATTGTCTTCTAAGGGACAAGCATAGTATTCTTCCGTAGGGTTTGCTAGTTCAATAGCTTCTCTCATCAACCGTTTGACTCCTAAAAAATCATTTTTAAAAATGTTAATAACAAAAATGAGAAAGGTACCTGGACTCTTAAGATTATACTTATTTTCCAGAGACATCATAAAATTCTCACTAGAATTTTTTGGAAAAAAATAGTTTAAAAATTATTTTTGTCTTATCTCTGATAGCTATTTGATGACAATTCACGGAAAGCGTAGATTTTAATTACAATTTCAGCAAACCAAAAACAAACACCTGTCCCATCAGCTGTCAAAAGTGTCAAGTGTCAGCTGATTGCTGATTGACGGCACATGCACATGGCATACACATACTTCTATAGGATAGAAGTATGTGATGGCATAGCACAGAACATTGGCATGGCATACCACAGAACGAGCAGAGCAACACATTGCTCATAACATAACCTACAAAAAACTTATAAAACAATAACCTACAAAAACAGTTTAGGAATACAAAACCAGCGTAATTTAAAATTGTAGTTGCTTTAGGAGTTAAAAAAATGCCCTTAATTGTAATATCTGGTATTCCAAGCAGTGGAAAAACTACAAGAAGCATAGAATTAAAACAGTTTTTTGAGGAACATGACAAGGAAGTGCATATAGTAAGCGAATTTGAACAAATAAAAAAGGCAGGATTTGAGAAAAACTCGTTTTATGCAGACTCCAACAAGGAAAAGCATATAAGAGGTTTACTGAAATCGGAAGTGTTGAAACTGATATCATCCACAAATGTTGTTATACTAGATGCTTTAAATTACATTAAAGGTTATCGCTATGAGCTTTTTTGCGGTACTAAAGCGAATAGAAGTACGCAGTGCACTGTTCACGCTGAAATAAACAGAGAACAAGCATGGACATTTAACACAAGCAGAGAGAGTGAAGAGGAAAAATATGATAGAGCTACGTTTGATGCACTTTTAATGAGGTATGAAGAACCCGACGGAAGGAATAGATGGGACGCACCTTTATTTATGATCTTTCCGGAACAGACATTGGAGAAAGATGCTATCTATTCGAGCTTGTTTAAGAAACCTCCTCCAAAACCTAATATGTCTACACAAAATGCGCCCCTGAGTTCAACAAACTTTCTGTACGATTTAGATCAAGTTACAAAGAAAATTGTAGATGGCTTAATTAAAGAGAAAAGTGGTGGTGCAACGGGGGTAATAAAAATTCCGGATTATGAAGATTTGTGTATTGATATATCGGACGTAAGTGTACCTCAGTTGAACATTTTACGAAGGCAATATTTGACTTATTCTAAAATGCACGCGCCTGATCCAAAGGATGTACCCAATTTATTTGTGAAATATTTAACTGCAAGTTTAAAGTAGGTTATATATATGCTTATAATTTTATAAAATATAACTATAATACTGTTTGATTTTATTTATTTTTCTCCTACTCTAGAACTTTGTTTATAAAATGTCCGGGTTTCATGCCTCCGATCGTTTTAATAAGTAATATTTCTGTTTTAAATTAAATTTGTGTACGGGAGTTTCTTGATATGCTTTCTTAAATGAAATTATTGTTAACTTCCATTTTTTAAATGGAACACACTGTACATTTTTGCAGAATCAGAACCAGAACGTGTAGCACATTTGTAACAAAACCTGGCTGTTTAGGAGGTCATTATTTGGTTAAAACTTTAACAATTAATTCCTGAAATGAATAGATGTTCAAGATTGATATACCAGGTACTGAATTTTCCTGCTTACATTTCATTCATTTTAAACCAAACATTTTTTTTAATTTAAAATTAATACTGTAGTAAGTTCCGCGCGATTTACTTATTCGAATAAGAAGAAGAAGACGCCTGAATATAGTGTTTAGTGATCTTAGTTCTTACTTCTAATCTTAGGCTTATGGTTAGGCAGAAAGATAAGCGGTCTGGCTAAATATTCCCTGGCTGAAGGCCAAAAAAAAAAGAAGAAGAAATATAAGAGGTTATGTTGCTTATGTTTATGTATTAATTTGTGTTTGTGAAAGAAACGTTTAAGATTTATGCTTTTATAGAAAAATAAAGGGTGCCTTCCTGCCACCCAGATAGAGCTCCCTACAATACCTCATATTTTTATCATCGGTGTTATGTAAAATAAATTTGTAATACAGGGATATATAGTAAGGAATACTACTACGGATGTTAAAGTTAAAACATTTTTAGATGAATGTACGCTTCTTAGAGAAAATACAGTTAACAATTCCACATTTTCAGTTTTTCATTCAGGGGTAATTTGGTTGATTTCTATGAAAAATTCTCTAATACCAAATCTCTTACAGTACCTAGTTGCTAAAAGAAAGTTTAATTTTACAATCGACAAGATATAGGGTGATTTTTCAGCACTAAGTTGTCAAAATCTTAACAAAATGTTAAATATCGCCCGAGTTTCCTGGTAAAAATTTTGAGTTCGTTTTAAGTGATCAGTAATATACAGAATGTTCTGTTAGAAATAAAAAAGTTGAATTGTTTTCTTTATGACTACAGAATGAGAACTGGACCATATTTTGGTCGAGGAAACCATATCAGAAACCCAAATATACAAATCATCAGATTTTGATCCCTTACAAACCTCAATCAAAGGTCGTGACATGTATTACAGTAGCTTGCCCTTAAATAAGGAAAGTGTTTACAGAGGTGGTAATGGTTACCGTCGCGCAGCAGTGGGAGTAGTGCATATTTACTATACAGTTTAGGCCAAGGGTCGGCAACTGGCGGACCGCGGTCCAGGTCCGGACCGCGGAAGGTAAAATACTGGACCGCCAAAAATTTTTTGAAAGTATAAATTACTCAAATAAATTATTTAAAAAAATGTTTTTTACATTTAAGTGCCAATTTTATAATTTTTTCTAGTATTTTACAATTATGTGAGTGTTTTGAGTTCTTAATTAATAAGCAGATTAAATTTGAGTCCAAATTAAAATAAAAAAATAAGAAATATGAATTTTTTTTCTGGACCTCGTTAAAAATTTTCAAAAGTATCCGGACCCCTGGTTTAGGCTTTAATGAAGAAGTAATTGAAAAGTTTATTTTGGACAAAACCAGAATGAACTCACTATAAAAAATAATGTTGAGCACATTTTCCATATATTTCAATAGTATTTAAAATAAAAGCAAGTTTTTTTTATACCTAAGTTTTTCCACTAATAAATAAAAGTGACTGGTACAGTTTAGAAAGTTTATTTAAAAAATAATGTTTAGACAATCTCAAAAACATACAATCAACATACAATTTAATCAATATGATACGGGAAAATATTTTTTTATTTTATATAAAACAAACTGTTTATCCAAATATTGAATAATTTTTTCTACGTCGAAAAACAAACAACAAAATTTAACAACTTGAGAGACAAAGTGACGGTCAATCTTACACATTTTACAAAAGTAATTTAAGAAGAAAATAACAAAATTACAGGAAATTCAAATTATTTCACTTTTTGTTTCCTTAAAGTCTTGTTGGTGTTCTGATCTACTTCCGGCAAGTCGGATTCGTCGCTCTTCTTACCTGCGGCAAAACGACCAATAATAAGGGTTAAGATTTCAGTGTCATTTAAATTACATACTACATACTTTTCTTGGATTTGTCTTTCCTTTGAGTCTTGGTTTTCGGCACCACGGTTAGGCCTTTGCTCTCGCGAGATCTCGCTATTTCTTGACTGATGACTTTGAACGTCAAATACCTGAAAGACAACACATTTACATTTTCAAACGTATGAATTTCACTAAAAAATATTCTCTTACATTTGCAAAAGAAGAACTCCACCCAAAACGGCAAAACGAACGACAGGGACATTAAAGTAACCAGCTTGAATGTCGAGGGCGTGTTGTTCACCCAAAGCGAAGCCGTAAAATAGTGTTAAGATGGCTAAAATGATGCTTCCCAAACGAGCGAGTATTTGTAAGATGTTGGACACCAATCTTGTACCTAAAATGAAATATAATTCATTCGGTATGCCAAAAATAAGATTTCGATCAAAGGATTTACCTTTCGTAAATTTCTCATCCTTATCCACAGTTTGGATTAGTTGAGAAATATGGTTGAATAGCTCGGATGTATGATGTAGTACCAAAAGGCATACAAGCAAACGGTTGAAACTAAAACAAATTATTATTACTGTTTGCTGTCTATAGTAGGATCGTATTCGATGCAAAGTAGAGCAAAAATTGTCGGTCTTTTATTAATTATTACACTTAAAATAAATAGCTTATGAGAAGAAAGGGATTTTTTTAGGAACAGAGGTGCCAGATGTGAACTGATACCTTCGTCCCTTCATAATGCATAAAGAAATTATTCAATTTCTAAACCCCTTAAAACCGCACTGCACTGGATCCCTTCACAGGCAATGATTTATTTGCATCAAATATGATCCTACTATACCTTTATATTGTTTGATAGTCGAGTCTTACAGATATGAAACTAATATTAGATATCGGCAACTCAAAACAAATATCGCTAAACAAAAGCATTTGCTTACTTTAATAAATAAGGTACGTAAATCAACACGAGGGCAGTGATGCTTTGAACAGCCTTTCCCGTATATTCTTCCCTCTTTGTCCGTTGGAAGTACAGTTCTGGAATCTCATGGAGATTATAAGCCAGTTGGACAATGACGTACAGTTTGAGCATAAAGGGCATAGGTGCTGGGTAATCGGACCACAAACGAGCTATGTCTGGAATGAAGTGCTCCTTTATGGCCAAATCAACGCCCCAGCCTGCCGATATCAGATAGAACACCGCCAATTGGCCACTGGTGGAAAAGACTGCTAGCTTTGATTTGGACAGGTGCAGTTTTTTGGAAATTTTCTGTGGAAAAAGTACCTCCAGTTATTACATATAGTACAACAAATATATTATGAATATAATGATAAATCCTGCATATTTTCTTCAGGTCTCAACAATGCAAATTATGTAGAACAATTCGTAAATAAGAGCTTAATAGCACAAAACCAGAAATAGAAAGTACCTTTTAATTCCCAATCTATTTTACAATATACCTTTCACCAACATCTTGATGGTAATTTTCATTAAATGAAAAATTAAAAAATATAAGTACATAATCATATTTGTGCAGCAATTACTATACATTTTAATAAAGTGATAATCATGTACTTACATCTAGCACATATTCCTGTATGATGGCATGAATTACGATACAAATTAAACTGTAGAAGAAAACACATGCCCAGTCTTTCACACCAGGACTGTATAGTGGTATTTCGCCAGCCTCAGTTACATTGTGTTGCAGGGTAATGAAAATAGAGGCAATGGGGGATGTTGCCTGAAACAATAAGAAAAATAAGATAAGAACCTAACCTAGTCCCTGACATATGTCAAGAATGTTTCCTAAAAATTCGTTTTAAATAATCACCAACACAAAAACTTAGCCTTAAATTCGCTTACCTGAACCATGAGCCCCACAACAAACAGCATCGCCACACAAGAAACGATATCTGCATGATTTTGAATTACAAATTCATGACTCAAAATTGGTGGATTTTTGTTTGACGACTTTCTCACAGGTTTTACCATTTTTTGTTATATTATGCTTCAACTATCAATTTATACAACTACCTCTGGCACCTTATGTTACCCGAACGAGGTAAACTTGTGCCACCAAATCGTAACACCAATTCTGTTAAAATTTACCGCAAGTGCCACGAAAAGACACGTCACGTCAACGCTGGCCTCTCTGGACAACCGAGAACCGAGCTCTCCACTCTCCGCTACCGTTCGTCGGATATTGAACCAATAGCTTTGAAGCTTTGTAATCAATATTGTAATTTATGGATAGTTTGTTGATATAAACTGACAAACTTAAGTTTATATTTGTACAGACATGATAATATAGTTTGATAATTATATCGTATAAGTATATTTGCCGTTTCAATCTCTCCAGATGTTTTTAAAGATTCGGTGACGTTACTGTCACTTGGTGAATGTGAACTCAATTTTTGCTTGGAAGAAAGAACCTATTGTTTAGGCAACCTTTAATACACCAGAGTTCGGAAAAACTTTGAAGCGAACCAAAAATTATTCAAATTCAAATTAAAATACCAGACTGAAACTGCTGAAGTAGAGAATCAAAATTCCTTTTTTCAGGAACTTATTTTAGTAAAATGCAACGAGATTACTTTTTACATTAAATAAAGCGGCATTTCAAAAAACATCTGTTTTAAATAAAAAATAAGCTCACATTTATGTTTGGCTAATGGCCATATAAAAAAAAAACTATCTAGGAACAATCCCTTCTCTAGTTTTATGGAAATATTTTAAAAAGTGACGGTGGAGTTATCCTAGAATAATTAAGTAAAAAAAAATCTTTGAAGCTCATACATTTTAAAGAAGCATTTTGTTGATTATTTGGTTGGTTTTGGTTTGATAAAGCCTAGGTAAAAGCTTTTAAATTCCGCAAATGAAATCAAAATTTTTAACAAACAGTATTACAAAAAATGGTTTTTTTATTGGTCTTAATTCTACAAAACGTAATTGATATGACAGTATCTTATTTAATGCAAATCATACAAAATATTTTATTTGGAAAATAACAATTGTTTTCACGTGTTGAAGTCCTGTAGACTAAACTATAATTTCGTTGAAATGGTCTTATTTTAACTCCAATAAAAGCGCTGTATGATATAATTAATTCTGAGGTTAGATAAAAATTGTGGCATGAGACACAAAAAATGAATCAGGGAATCACCTCTAGTTGGCGTAATGTTAGTCACAGAAACGGGTTTGAAGTACGTGACAGTTTCTGACAAAAATATGATTGTTTTCTGAACAGCTTTATAAAAGAAAACACTTCTATTCTGTCTGGAAAAAAAGGCAAAACACCCAAAAAATAAAATCAAAGACGAAGGCAAAATATCCAAAAAATAAAGAAAAAAAACGAAAACTAGACAAAATACCCTAAATGTAAAGAAAAATACCCAACAAATAAAGAAAAAACTAAAACAATATTTTTATTTAAACTTCCAGGAATGAGTTTCGCTCTTTACTAGGATCTATTTTGAATATCCATATTTTAGCTATAAACATATGTATTTTAGAAATAAATTTAGAAGGTCGAACTTTGTATAGGAATTTTTTTTCTAGGCAAAATTTTTAAGTCTGAAATTTTCACGAACAGAAAAGTATCCAAAATATGTAAGTGCCCTAAATCTAGGATCAACCTTTCTCAGACGTGCTTTATTTTAATTCTATCTCCTCCACTTTAAAGCTCATTTTTAAAGAATAAAGTAAACATATTCACTAGGTACCTACCTAATATAAATCCAACTTTTATTATAATATACCTACTACACCTAACTATAAGTCAAATGCTTTTTATAATCTCCTTGACCTGTTTTATCTAAATGCAAATATACACTGAATAATTTATATAAAAAAAAACGACAAAAAATTAACAATACATTTATTGGTGATTCAGTATATTGAACCAGGTAGGTATTAAAAAGTGTACCTGATAACATTTGTAATCTGCGTTTTAATTTTAATTGATTGACATATAAGATACAGGTCCTCCTACAATTTTTTTATTTGGGATTTACATATTACGATATCAGAATATCCTTTCCCAGAAACATGTATAACAACATAATAAAATCTCCATAAGAAAAAAATAAACAAAGAAGAGAAATAATTAACTTATATAACTTTTTGCATTAAGCGATGATCGATTTTAATAATAACTGTAGACTCATCTGGTGCGACTATAAAAAGAAGAGGGGATACCCGAGCTTCAATATTTTACGTTTAACAGTGAAGAGAGGTGCTTCGAAATGGCTGTTACACAATATTGTTTGTTTTTGATTGCTTTCTGCGGGGCCGCTTTAGCCTGTAAGTGATTAACATGATAATTTGCAGATTTTCCCTGAGTTATTTAGGCGCTATTTTGCAGGAAATCTAGATAACTCAGGCGAATTTTGGTTGATAAGTTTTCTAAAATAGTGTTTACTGACACAAATTATTCAAAACCGGCTAGTTCACAATGTAGACATCTTTTTTTAAGCAATTAATTTGAAGCTATTACCTCAGTAAATATTTTCCTTTAATTTAAAAATTATGAAACGACCTTGATTCTTTAAAATGGAACTGATTGACAGACAAAGTTTTTAAAATTATATTTTTAACTTTAAAATCGTAAATTTGAACAAAATTAATTAATAAGATTTAATAGTGATTAACTGAGAATTATATTGTTTCACGTAAAACAAGTAATTAGTTTTCCTGATCTTTGCAAAGGATAAAAAACGTCTGAGAAATATCGGCGCGTACTATTTTTAAAAATTTAATTGTAAGTTAAATTTTTACACCATCGTCGTCATTCATTATCCTCAAGTCGTTTGTCTTGTACTTCAGGTACTTTTTTTGTTAATATTATTTGAAGGAGTCTATTTAATTAACGCTGCACCCAAATGATGTCCAAAGTAAACCTTTCGATATTTCTCAGTTTTTGTTTTTGCCTTATGTGCTGTTAATAAACATATAACAATAACATTACAATTTATTCACGTATTTTTGTGAGTCAACAAAGACTCCTAAGGTGAACCTGTTCTAAAATATACGTATGTACATAAAACACTAATCATTTCTATTTAGGTAAATGGAAATTATGTTGACCTAAGGATCAGTTAATTTAGATGTTAAGTATTTTTAAATTTTTTTATTTTAAACTGTTTTTAAAACGAATTTATTTCAGTTTATACTTTTTTCATTATTAACTTTTATTTTATTTTAAGGAGATGGCCAATTTCTCTGAAAATTTAGAATATTGTTTGGTAATTTTGAATTTAAAGTAAGATATGAGGTTTTCTTTTAAATAAACATTACTGACCGGCTATTTATCTATGACACAATTAGATATTTATTCCCAAAAGTATACGAAAAAGCAAAAAACTTTGGATTTGGTACCTAATTTGAATTCGATTGTGTAAAGTAAAATATAATTTTTAAGTACCTATAAATACGTACATATATCACATATAAATTTTTTGAATAAAACTGTTGCAAGATAGATTAATCTAAAATTCCTAAACTATTTATCAATATACACAAAAACAAATTAAGCGTGCTAAGATTTTCCGATCAAAACGTATTCAAGGACAAACAATTGTCCCGGTTGTTGGTGTCATTACACATAGGAACAGCATTAGTAAACAAAACACCGTAATTTTAGTGTAAAAAATTTATAGAAGTAGATAGTAAAACTATATTTGTAGACTAAAATACAACTTTAAAAATATATATCGTGTTTGTTATTAAATACAGACTTAAAAATAAAGAAAAAGGATATTTGGAGTACATTCAGATCTCGATTAAAACAGTTACATCTATACAGGGTGTCTCACAGTGATGGACATTAGAATTATTTCAGAGACTACTTCGATTTGAATTTTGAAAATTTTGAAAAAGTAGTAGATAACTTAAAAACTAGAAGAGATAGGTCCAGGGGATCCTGATACCGTTCGAAAGAGAATAAAATTGTGTATCAGAATATAGAAAAACATACAGGGTGTTCCATTTAAAGTAACCGACTTATGATGGTTTGAAGTTAACTAAACTTGGCATTAAATTTCTATCACCCTGTATGCAATTAAGCCACTTTGAAAGTATGGATGGCATGCTTAGGGGTCTAGCTATCCCCCCTATAGATATTGTGGCTTTATTTTTCTTACTACAAAATACACATGATTTGAAGCTAGTCACAGTTTCTCTCCATTTTTTTGAAAAAAAATTAAATATCTCGAAAACGGTTAATTTTGGGAATAGGACAACTTCATAAAAGTCCACCTAAAATAACACGTAGAATCCAAAATTGCAATAATATATAGGGTGTTCCATTTAAAATAAAAGGACATGCCCGAAAACCCGGTATCCCAAATTTTCAAAATTAAAATCGAAGTAGTCTATGAAATAATTCTAATGGGCCATCACCGTGAGACACCCTGTATAGAGAATTTGTTCATTAGAGGCACATAACTTTAATTCATAGTCGAAAAGTAATATTTTTCTTTTTAGTAAATATTTTGTTATTTTTTTTATAAAATTAACCATTATCTCACAGATCTTCTATTTTGGGACTCCCCAACCAAGCTAAGCTATTATTCATATAAATAAATAGGATGAACAAGTAATAATTTTTTATTTACTATCTCTAAAAGTTCCTTGTAATAACAATATGAGGTGACCTGGCCTTGAATCCGTATTCAATTAATAACGAAATATGTAAATTCATCGGTGACTTCAACGGAGAGTTGTTGAAGAAACCCAACGGATTGTACCTAGTTTCTATTTAGCACACTCGTCAGAATTTAATTAGTCGAACAAGGATACTAAAAATAATTGCCCGTGTTTGTTTACTTATTACCTGATGGTCTGAGTAATTTTTTCTGTTGCGGTTTGTACATACAATGTACATTAAATTGTAATTAGTGCAGTTATCAGTTATTTTAAAGCAATTATTAATTACAAATCATTATTATTGTTATATTACGTCGTTCGTTACCCACATCACAATAATTATATGTGGAAACAATAACACCCACAGGCCACAGGTCGCGAAGATGTTAAAAATATCTAAGTATCTAAACAGCAAAAAAAGTGTGTATTTTACTTTGCTTTACTGACAACAATGATATTCTTGATGATATTGAGCATTGAGCAGTTCTTATGAGAACCATCTATTACAAGTTTCTGTAAATTAGAATACGTTGTTTCGTTTGTTGTGTCGACTTTAATGCTCTGTAGCGACTAAACGAAGCAACTTATCTGCTTATTTTGATCTCAAAGTAAAACAGAGTGAAATTGATATCTGACAATAAATTAACAGAACAATTTTTCAGTTTCAGCCCAATATGTCCCAAAATCGGTCTATTTGATCGATGAGAACGGACAGCAATCAGATGTGGTGTTGATTAGAGATAGAAGGGAGATTCCTTTCCTGAGGGTGCGCAGAGGGGGAGGAAGCAGTGCCCACGCTTCAGCGGATTCTAGCGCTTCAGCAGGTGCTGGTGGTGGTGGTGGGGGAGCGCCCATCAATTTTGACGGTACTACAAACAATTTTTTGCACTCCGTGGGCTAAAAGTGTCGTTTCAATCTCGAATGTGAGGGAGTAAAGCGTCACTTTTAGTCTCTCAGGAAACTTTCACGCAAAATCACAAATATTTACTACAGTATTCTAGAGTCCTTGTATTGATAGTGTAATAACCTCATCTATTTTGGAGGCAAAATGACATTTTTTTGGTTTCAAAATGGCGAGAATGCGGTATTCTCCAAAACTAATAAATAATTTGACTGCTTGAAGTATCTCTATGTTAAACTGTCATATGGAAAATAATTTTAATTCATTTTGGTTATTTCGGACTAAAGAGTGCAAAAAATTGTGTATACCTTGCGACTAAATTGCTCGTTAAGCATGCACGGTGGGAAACTGCACCCTCGTCATTAAAAGATGCACTTTAGTCTCTTGGTATATATACAGGGTGCCCGGTTGCCGATGGGATCTGGATTTTCTTAAAAAGTATAAAGTTGGTCAGTTCAGGATAAAATTGCGGAATTAGATGTCAAGTAACTTTCCGAAAATAAATTTTACTTTTCTTTTTTTTTTCGTTTTGAAATTATCAGTCGAAATTTGATAATTTTGGTTTTATTTTCATTATTTATTTATTTTTTTTTTAACTAACATAGGACACTTTTCTGTAAATAATTTAAATCTCCTGCCAGAACAAGAGTCGATATAGGTCTCTCGCTCCCTGCGTATTCATTTATTTAAATTTGACATTGTCACACAAATTCGTCTTAACTGTCAAAATTTCATTGGAAGTAATAGTTAGATGTCTTGTTTTCAGAGCACTCTTTGTAAAAATGGATACGTAGGTAGTATTTTGAAGGGAAGAAAAGAGTAAACCCTACTTAATCGTTATAAAAAAATGCGCTGAATTAAAAAATGAGAAAATCTAATACGGCCCAGCCTATAAGAAAAGCAAAAGTTGCATGCTATTTTCCATTTTTCCCAGAAAATTTCAAAACGAAAAAGTAGATCAACCTATCAAATAATTGTTGACATGTTGACCGACGTTGTATCTCTTAGGATAACCGAGACCCTAATGTCGCGGGTAGAAAATTGTCCGACTTATAAGTATGACAGAATATAACTGAAGAGAGATGGGGTTTACATAAAAATAGAAAGATTTGAATGATTATATTTTAACATAATCAATACTAATGTTTCAAAATTAATTTCTGTTGCTTCAATGAAAACATTTAAAAAAAATTCTTACAGATATTATTCTAGACCTTCTAGGTAAGGGTCAACTATTTGCAAGCTATTTTTTGCAAATTTTACTGCATTCTTCAAAAGAAACTTCGGAGATTAAGCCCTCTGAACGGTATTCACATTTGCTAGAGTTTTTAATTAAAAATAAAACTATACTTATTTTATTCACGCCGTCTTCCTGGTGATAATAATTTAATTTGTTCCCGGGCAATATATTTCTGTTCGGACTCGTGACATGCAAATCAGCTAAATTTGCATTCCACATTGATTTAAATATTTCTCGGTTTTTCCGGATTTATTAAAATTGCCGTTCCAGATACCTACCACTCCAGTAATAAAACTGTTTACTATTTGTCGTAAACATTTACTTGGGCTAGTTACGTCTCTTTCAAGGTTATGTTATTTTCATTTCATAGTAATAAAAAATTGACCACGTGCCATATAATTATTTGTACAAAATTTACAGAAGAGAAAAGGGACATCCAACTCACATCAAAACTGAAAAAAAGTATTAGTTTATCTTTAAAAATTAGGCATCCCTTATAAGCGAGGTTTTCTCTAAATTCCAAAAATTAGTTGCTGGTATCTGGCATCTGGCATCTTGTATTATTATGAAGTTTTAAAACCATTGCTAAAAGCCAAATAATCACTTTTTCTGTTTAATTGACATTAATTTAAACCATAGCTTTGAAAGAAAAAACAGTCACACATATATCATTTAAGCTCTAAATACTGAAATTAGACCTAACTAGGTGCCTGTCTGATGTAGATATCTACCAGGAACCGTATTAATTAACGTTTAAAAAATATTCTACGATAATCTTTGTTTTATATTTATTGAAAAAATACATTTATTAAATAGACACAAGGAACAGGTTTGTGGGAGAAGCCAGGAATATTAAAATACTAGCAATAATATTGCAATATCGTTATTTCCATTTTAATATGTAAATAATGGAAATAGATATATACCTATCTGAAAAATCATTTAAATATCCGACAAATGCTATAATTTGGGAATTTTCGAATAATAATCACTACCAAAATGTTCTTATACAAATAAAAACCAAAAATATTGAGCATGAAACAAAAACGTATAAGTTTTACGCTAAAGGACGTCAGTTTTTATTTTTTAGGAAGATATTTTTTGAGAACTTTGTTAAATTTTACTTTCAATAATTGAGCTATGATGCCTTGATATCTTTTTAAATGGTACTTCCCAATTTTTTCATCTAAATTTGACAAAATTTGCTTGTTGTTTGTACTAGTATAAAATGACTTCTTCATTTCTAAACGGAAGGTAACTTATTGCATAGAAACTCAACAAGTACTTAAGCTATATCGAATCTGATGAAAAATATCTTCCCAAAAATATACCTTTTGGCATATTTGTCAAAACTTATTGATTTTTATTTCTCTCTCAGTATTTTTGCTGCGCAGTATACAGTCACCAAGAGGAAGTACGCGTTAGAGCAGCAAAAATTTATTGGGTTTTGGTAAAATTCGAATGAGCAGTCATTTCAAATTTTTTCCACATGATGCATGCGTGCTTTCTGTCGGTCATGTATAAAATGAATGCCTGTTCCAGATTTCATTCCTAACATAGGTAATCTCGCCGATTTGGCGAGAAACATTCCCACAGGAGGAGGAGGAGGCAGTGGTGCCGGAGCCAGTTCCTTTGCCAGTGCCAGTTCCAGCAGCTCGGCTGGGGGCGGAAGTGGAGGAGGTTATGGAAACACCGGATATGCAGGAGGTCTAGGAGCAGGACATCCAGCAGGCTACGATGGGTATGTAGAGATCTATTTTTTAATTTTGAACGCAGTAGCATCAACGACAAAAGGAGAAAAATTTCTGATTCGCTGTATAGGGCGGAATTGCTAGATAAAGACGAAGCAGATGATATTTTAAAAAAATATATAAATATCCCGAGCTTAATTGGTTTTTGATATTTTAATGATAAACCCCATACTATTTCTCAATTAATTAATTCCATTTTTGGCCGAGATGAATTTTTAAAGTTGCTGTAAACAAAACAAATAGAACCTGTACGAAACCGAGAAATAGTCAACGTTTACGATAGGGACGTCGATTGTTAGATGGCAGCACCAGTATCATCGATTCTAGAAATATATAAGGCTGCCCTCGTATACCAAAATAATTTTCAAAGGGCAAACTATATGTTCACATAATACACTAGGCACAGAAATTAAGGGATATTAAAGAAATTCCAAAATTTTGGGTGATATTCAAAGAGCTGTAACTTGGAATTTCTTATAATTACTCAAAAACTGCTTACGCTAAAAAATTTTAAACTCCAGGTCTGAATACTAGACACTTAAAGCTTCAATTTCCTTTTTTATTTTTGTTCTCTTTACGACCATTTCCCTCCAAGTTACAGCTCTTTGAAAATCACCCAAAATTTTGGGATGTTTTTCTTAATCCCCTTAATTTCTGTGCCTAGTATAGTTTGAAGTACTTAAATTAAAATGCTAGTTATATATTTAGATATATATGTAGTCAATAAATATCACAGTATAGTAAATATACAGTATACAGTATGTCTCGACGAAAAGAGTGGATTTATAGCATGGAGAAAACTTTACTTGGATTTAAAAAAAACGACGAAACACTTTGGCTGCAACAGCACACTGATTTGCAATAAATTCAATGCCGTAACTTCATTTGAAAGGTATTAACATTATCTTTACAGTGATACATTTTCGATAATTCAAGAAAAAATTAAACTAGCTAGATACTATAAATTTCTATTTCTATTAACCTTGTCATATACTTTGAGCTACCCCTAGTAGGGAAATGAAGTTTACGTGTTTCAGCTTTTTTTTAATCTGTAGTTTTCCTGATATTCAAATTCGCCCTTTTTTTGGGACACCCTGTATAGTTATACAAATTTTTAAATAAAATTTTAGTGTTCAGTTTCAGCAATTTTAATGTACTATAGCTATGTTTTATAATGGAATCATATGAGTTTCAAATGCAGTTTTACAATTAAATTATACTTATTTCGAAAATAAAACATTTTCGGATCCATATTTATGGGAACTTTTTTCTTATTCTGATGAGTAATACGCGTGGATAAATTTATTTGCCTTTTTTTTAACGCCCTGTAAATACAACTGATACATACTAATAAATACTAAATAATGATGTCAAACGTTTGAAAAAATAAAGCTTCCTGCAAGTGTCCAAACTTCCACGTCGTTTAAATAGAGAAAATAAATTAGAAATATCGCACTTGTAATTTTAATAACGACTAGCATTTATGGAATGGATCACCCTGTATGTATAAAAAATATAATCTATATTATAAAAATGCTGAAATTGTTTGTAAAACCTTGTATTTGGGAACGCTGCAAGAATTTGCTGCAGAATTGCAAACAGTCGCACAAAATGCGGCACAGAAAATGTTTATAGGTGGTTTGGACCATAGACCACCGTTTGGACGTATGAATGTGAAGCTGGTTGCATATGACTCCTCTTAGGAAAACTATACTAACTTTTCAGGATTTATTTTTTAATTTTCGGTCAATGATTTTTATTTTTTTTTTTTCGTAAGATATATTAAGAAAGATGGAATCTTTTTTTATACTTTAACAGACGCGATTACCTACAATTAAATTAATTAATATCGTTCTAATTTTCATAAAGAAGAAGCCTATATACTCTGAAGTACGTACGAAAAGTATTCATGTGATCATGTGAATAACTTAAGTGACGCTCTCTGGAAATGCTGTGGTCAGGTATATAGCTCCTTTATCAACATGGCCTAAGCGGTTCTTGACGTAAGCATAAATTCAATTTTAAACCTAAACGCGACACATGGTAACCATCTGCTGCAGTCTGCAATAATTTTTCCTGTTTAATGTGACCGCAAAACATGTTTCATTTGATTTTTGGCGGTTCTGATCCAATATGACTTACCGTCATCTTTCCTTTGCCTGAAATAGATGTCTGGTGTTATGGGAGAAAAGCCTCAAATCCCTTTATTTTTGTATATTCCTGCTGACACTGCTATAATTGTTAATTACTCATTGCCACAGATTATTTGGAGGTGGGGCAGAATAACAGGATGCAACAAAAACGAGTACCACCACAGGTCTGCATCAGTTCTAAGAAAGTATCTCTAAAACCGCAAAAAGTCGTGCTCTCTGGCAAAAGAATGTCAAAAATTATACAAACTCATCCTCAACCTCACTGAAGGTTGACGAGTTTTACGTTTAACACAAGCATACTTCCCGCGTAATGATTAGTTAAACAAAATAGAACCTTTCCAACAAATAATGCACTGGGCGTGTTGCAGAAAACAAATTTTATTTGTCGGCGTTTTCCAAAAGTTATAATATAATTCAAAAAGGAGAGGAATATAACATAATATAACAAATGAGAAAATAAATGAGCATAATGAAGATTTCAACTTCAGATTTAGTAAGTTATAAAAACTTCTTCAAAATTTCCGTATTTGAACATACTGAAAACGCTGTGGTGGTAGGTTATTGTATCTACGTTCTATAGTTTTTAATGAAATCGCAGAAAAACAAAAATTGAATTACATCGTTGTTAAAAAATTAGGTGCCAGAAATTCCATTTATCCTCTTCGCTGAAAGTTTGGCAAAAAAATAGAAATCAGAAATTAATTCAGGAGGATCTAGGAGAATTTTTTCAGGCTTTCCCAGACGAAAAACGTTTTTAAATAAACATATTTCGAATATTTAAATTCATGAAAAAATTCTCAAAAGTTGAACATCCAAAATATGAATAGAAAGATTTAGGCAAGGTATTTGAATCTGCTGAAAACGCTGGTGGTGTCAGATTTTCTTTACGTTTTGGCAGGAAATTGCCACAAAATTTCAAAGAAGTAAAGCTCTTACCTGACAGCGTAGATAACGGGTTGAATGACTAAGTAATTACTACTCGTAAATCATCTGCGAACAATTGGAAAAAGCAGTTTTCAATTCACGAAAAAACAATTCCCGATCTACATACAGACGGATTTCCAATATTCCATGTATATAAAACTACCGCAGTTAGAATCAAAATATGTTGTTTTAATTAAACTTATTCCTCTCTCAAATTAGTTTAACTGTTAGAGAGTGTCAAAGTTGGAAAAAAGTTAAGTATAGTTTTTTAAATTTTGTTTTCATTATCAAATCAATTTTGTATAGAAAATACTTTGGTAATGACTAATAAAATAATGAGTTATGAAGAATACAAAAAAAGTACAAGTGGACAAATAAATTTAAAAAAGAACAGTTTTGTTTGTCCTAAAACAACAAATAAAGTTGTAAGGCCATATCATGTAGAAGAATATAAGGATATTTGTTTAGGAAGTGGGCTGTTCCCATGTTTGTGATGGCAATTATTTTTGCTGTGTCAAAAAAGTATGGTTTTAGCATACCAAATATCATCGGTCAAATCGTTTTAAAGCTATTTGAAAAAAACTAAAATTTTAGCCCTTAGCTAAACTAAGGAACTTTGGATAAACTTAGTTAAATTTTGATCCCAAGAACGCGGTAGGTCCTTGTCCACGGAATATTGGACACTACATTTTTTTGACAGTTGAAACCTCTGAAACCCCTTCTAACCTCAGTAGGTACCATATTTGGTAGATTTTATTCAAATTTTATCAACATTATTATTAACTACGGAAAACCGTACTATAAAAAATTTGCCCTTATCATTGAGTAATCAACTGGATCTAAAAAAATCACTCGGAAAGATTGTCGCAACGTAGCTTTTACACCCTGTATAATCGTTGATGATGAAACTGAATTAAAAAAAGAAATACCATGTAATATTGCATAAGAACATAATATCTGGGATATATTTTGGAATATTAGAACATGACTGGCCATAACAGAATTAACCGAGTAAAAAGAACAATCTAAAACCACCTAGTCCACCCTATACGTGATACTGGTTTGGCGTAGAACATCGCCTCGTCATCTGGTCGATACTTGCCACCGTCATCAGCCTCCTTTGATCTATTTGGGCCGCGAACAAATGCGGACACATCTGGAGAGAGGCCTAGGGTGGAGAAAAAGACGGAAAGAGGTACTTGGACGGTCCCCAGTCCCCTTCATACCAGGCACGAGGGATCCTGGTGAATTGGGTGCGGTCGATCTCCGCACTCAGACAGCTCAAGCTAGAACGAACGTCGGGTACGGCTGACTTGGCAACTGGCTCCACCACCTGATCAATATATAGCGAGTGGATATCTGAGGCAAGCTGGAGAAAAGCAGTCGTCGAGAGGTCAAGAGAATGCTGCTCGATACCCACCACCACAGTTGTTTGCGGACTTGGTCCATGACGAAGCCGTCCCAAAGTGAGCCGACTTTGGGTCGTCGCTTTGTTACGTTGTGAATAATTTACTCTAAGAGAACAAAACAGTACTACTAATTAAAAATTTTGGGTATATAACCAATTATTCAAATAGTTCTCTCAAATCACAAACGATAAATATGCACATGTGAGGGGTATAGATGCAAAATTCACATTATCCATTTTTTAAAATTTAATTTTGCTTCTTAATTGAAATGACAGCACAACAATTTTTGACTCCAAGAAAGTACAACTTTTTGGATAATGGTAGTTTTGCTCCAAATTATTCTATATAATATTATTTATTACACCAAAATTCATGAAATTAAAGGAACTTTGAAACAAACTCAATACCAATAAAACTGGTTTCTCACTTTTTAAGTGACTTAAGGACCTGAATTTTTTTTTGGAATTGAATTAGACCTTTAACTTTGCTTCTTAATTGGTGAAATGACAGCACAACTATATTTAACTCCAAGAATGTGAATGAAAGTTTGGAAAATGTGAATTTTGATACAACTTTTTGGATAATGGTTGTTTTGCTCCAAATTATTCTACATAATATTATTTATTACACCAAAATTCATGAAATTAAAGGAACTTTGAAACAAACTCAATACCAATAAAACTGGTTTCTCACTTTTTAAGTGACTTAAGGACCTGAATTTTTTTTTGGAATTGAATTAGACCTTTAACTTTGCTTCTTAATTGGTGAAATGACAGCACAACTATATTTAACTCCAAGAATGTGAATGAAAGTTTGGAAAATGTGAATTTTGATACAACTTTTTGGATAATGGTTGTTTTGCTCCAAATTATTCTACATAATATTATTTATTACACCAAAATTCATAAAATTAAAGGAACTTTGAAACAAACTCAATATTAATCAAACTTTTATGTAATATGGTAGTTCATAATCAAAATAAAAACCTGCACAAAGTACTTAGAATACGATTTTATTATCAGTGATGAAGTGAAATATTTTTATAATGAATCTAAAATTGCAAAGTACAGTAAAAAGTTCTAATATCCGATATTTAAATATGAAACTTCAGAACTAAACTTATCTTACTTATAATCAGAAACTCGTAGAAAAACACGGAACCAACTATCTAGGAAAGCAAAACAATACGAGAAGCAAAACTCAGATTTGGCACCTTCAGATCGTAGGAGAATGCGTCTTTTGAAACAATTCACAGATTGTGAAACAACAGATTTCACATTTAAAAATAAATACGAAAATGTGAGTTTGTACCACTACCTCTATTTCGAAAAATTATGGATAATGTGAGTTTTGCATCTATACCCCTCATATATTAAAACAATTTTCATTATATTGTTGATAATAATCTACTAGAATGCATCTAAGAAAAACAAACTAATTCATCAAATGATGCAAATCTGATATGGTTTCGCTGCAATCTAATTAAATAATTTGATCATTTTGGTGGTTTATTTTGATGTCTTTTGAAGAGTACATATATCTAAATAGCATTTTGATTCAAGTACTTCAAACTATTAATAGAAATTTATGTTCATATTTATGCGGAAACAAGGGGTACCACTAGTCTGATTTACAAGGTAAAATGAATATACTGAAGTAATAAAGTAATAAACTTTACAACATAATCTTTACCTGTAAAATTTAAGAGAACATCCTTTAAAGAAAACAATTTAATTTTGCATTCTTCCTGCCTCTTATTTCACACCTTCACATAATTTGAATTTGGTACTGAATATTGAAAAATCTACTGCAGTCTTGTTACAAAAGAATTTCCAGGTTTCTCTGCACAATACAAATTATTTTATACAATTTTATATTTTCATACTAAATGAATTTTTAATTAAAATCTAAATGACTATGTATATTTCCTTTCTACCGTTTTTATAATTAAATTTACACTTGATTTAATTTTCACTTAAAACGCGCTAAAAGTCGCGTCATAGTCAAGTAACAATATTATTGTTATTTTTTTAACTTGAATCAAGAATTTCACTCTAAATGAATAATTACAATTATTAATAGGATGTGAAACACTCAACATTGATGGCAACAATGCCAACGATTTTTTCTAAAACAAGTTCTAGGACCATTTAAATATTGAATGCGAAAAGTCGATTTTGATTAATAATTACTCAAGAACCATAAACATAAACTTTAAATTTGTTTCAGTCAAGTTTCATAAAAAAAGTAGGTACATACAGGTTGATCAATAACCAACCAGACATATCGAAATTAGAATGGTTGTTTATATAGTATGAACCGTTTACGATTATAATAAGTCCTAAAACCACTACAAAGTTAGGTTTAGTTAGAAATAGACCAAAATAGACTTAATAATAATATAAATTACTTTTTTCTGGGTCGCTGCTGACGAGCACCTAAAGGCGAATTCGCACTTAGCCCTTCGCAGCAGCAGTGTGTCACGTCATATTGCAAAATTATAGTGCATTTCCAAAATGTGACCACTTTAATTTTTACCAGCCGCTATTGTGCTATTTTAATCACACTCTTTCGCCTTGCCCTCACGATTTCCGGACGCAAAACCTAATATTTTTTTCATTTTTCCTTTCCAGACCGATTCTGTTCTCGCGCGTGGGTGAGACCGAAGGTAGTGGAGGTCACGTATCATCTGCTGCCTTAGGAAGCAGAGGTGCTTTCAGCTCTTCCAGCATCTCCACAGACGGTGAGAAGGTGAAATATGCCAGCCAGTCAGGAAAATACTAAGGAAGTCACATGTTCAAACGTACTTTGCAATCACATGTGATATTTCTAGACTAATAAAACAAAAATGTACCCCAAACGTTTGTAATTTTTTGATATGCACCATCCTTCAGTAAACAATTTCCCTATATTGAACGTGTCTGATTGTATAATTGTTCAGAAAGAGTTACACTACTTATCCCTATCCTCAATTGTCAAACTGTCAAAAGTTATTTGAAAGGAAGTGTGATTTCCAAGTTTCTGATTTTAGAAACGCCAACGACTGACTTATTGAATTGTGCGATATACAGCTTTTAGCTACTTGAAAATTATACAAAATTGAATTTTTGGGAGTGTAGTTCTGAGCCAATCTGTATCATTTTTGGGACCACGCCTGAAGCGTCTCCTACTTGCTTGACAGCATAGTTTAGAAATACGTGGCCTACATCAATTTTCCGTTTAATACAGTCCTGAAAGTTCAGTTAGTATTTCCTCAAGGTCTCGGATGTCACGTAGCAGCAATTCACCAAACTAGTACCTTGCTGATTTATTTCGACGAGAATGGAGAGGAATAAAAGCAAGGTGTAGCGAAAACTGAACCCATAAAGCATGTAATAGGCTAAATCTATTGTATACTAAAGTAACCATAGCAGGGGATGAAAGGGATATGGACTCACATTTAGGCAGACACAAAATCGATACTTCAGCGTGGAGGCGGGATTTTTAGCGTGGCCCAAGAATTTGTTATTGGTATATCTTCATGTTGATCTGAATTGCAAACCATCTACTTTAGCTATTCAGGGAATGTCATACTGGCATTACTTGATTATGCTATTTGCACCACAAAATTTTTACCAAATATTTGTTACCGGCCTTTTGGAAAATAATCATGGAACATACTTAATTTTTTTGCTCTTAAATATGCACGCAAATATCAAATACAAAAATTACAGCTGCACTATACTTATATTTTTTTTATAACAAACGTGTTTGAACCTTATATACATAATTATACATTTCGTATAGTCTAAAAATTCGTGTAGCTATTCATTCGATTTGTTAGAGTATGAACAAATTTCACTTGAGGCCTGAAGAACGCCAATAAAAAAATGAGATGGAAATGTAGACAGGGGGACTTACTCCACTATTTTGCCACTGCGCATATCACTCTCAGAGCTCAAGTAAATTTGGTTTACCTTGTACACATGTTGCAAATACACGTGTGCATTTTTTAAGGTTTATCTCTCGAGCATTTCCACATATTTTTGCAATTTGACGCAATTTATCTCATTCATCGATCAATTTTTGAAGAAAATAAAAGTGCCTAGTTTACTTTATGGCTATAAAACAAAAATATATAATTGGTTCTAAATTGGCTGAGCAATAAGAAAAATTGCGAAATATCAGCTAGAGTTAGATGGAAATAATCTTGTTAAATGATGGGTAGGTATATCACCCAAAAATCAGTTTGAGTCTACAGGTATAATGGATTTAATTTGGCAAGATGTACAATTGTACACCCAGTGAATTTTTCTTTGATCACATTGAACATCCCTGTGTAAATGAATAGAATATCATACAAAAAAACGTATATTGTACTAGATAGTATGTAGGTAGGTAGGGACCCTAAAATGGAAGGGTCAGCTTTCAAGTCTTGTATAACTCAAGAATTTTCTACCTACCTGAGCTGAAATGACAAATCTTCTCGGGACCTACCTACCTACTGGATACTTACATGAGTTGTTTTAAAGTTTCTGAAGCATTCCTTAACGTTTTGAAATAAGTAGGGTGTACTTGTTTACTTTAATTAAACTTATAGCTTGCTAATTCAGAATGGAACAGGTTATTTCTCTCCAGGGAGACTGTAATTTATCCTCTATTTAAGTTTTTTGTGCTTTTGTAACTTGTAAATCAAGAGATTTTTTAATGGTAATTAACATTTAAATAAACTGTCTGCTTTTCTTAATTATCAACTGCATCTACTTTAAATTCACGAGACAATATAAAATGTTTAATTTCTTTTTTTATTATTTAATTTAGTTTCCGTTGGCTTTTTTCAGTCTTCAGTCATTTTGCGGGAAATGAGTGAAATTTAAAATTTGAAAAATCACTAGACTGTAGAGAAATTAATACCGGAAAAAGTGGGGAGTAGGTCAAACGTTTCACCTACATGGGGTCCAACTTGCGCGTCTCCTCTCGACAAGTCTGAAAAGTAACATTAAAAATGGCGAAATACATACATAACATGACAATTTGTCGGCGTTTTGTTTAAAAATGCGGTAATTGTGTCGAATAAATGAACTACAAGTGGAATATAACCTATTAGGTCAAATACTCGTAAATAAAAAACAATAAAATCATGGAAGTGTCCGAAAATATGGAAGAAAAGTGTCGATTGTGTGACGAAGTTGGTGAGAAAATGTTTAGCATTTTTGACAAAAACGAAGAAGGCCATCAGTTCCTCCAGTTAATAAAAGAATGTCTACCGATAATAGTAAGTCCCCTAGATATTGTTTATTTTTATTTTTTAACTAAATATAACCTACAAATTAGAGAGAACAACAATTATTAAAATCAAAACAACCACTTTGCAGATATATAGAACAGACCCATTATCAAAACAGATCTGTGAAAGATGCTGTATGCAATTGGAAAGTGTTGCAAAATTTAAGAAAATCAGTCAAGACACCGCAGAAAGGCATAAAGAAAAGCTGAGATCAAACAGTGGTGAAGAAAGTACTGATATTCGATTATTTTTAGGATGTGATTATGATATGGTAACTACATTAACTAAATCCTGTTACATCATTTTTATGATTTTCTTAATTCTAGATGGAAGGATCAGAACTGAAAGATGCAAGTACTTCCACAGAAGATCTCATAATTTACTGCAATAATTGCAAGCAATCAATACTGGATCCCAATGCAGTGAATGGTGAGCTGGAGCTATGTACCGACTTACACAAAGCCATAGCCGAATCGATGAGGAAAAACAAAGTAACAACGGAATCTGTTTCAGAGAAACTGTTGCGTAGAAGGAAAGTGGTACCTTTTTATCATGAACTGGATGACTCGCTATGCAGCAGTTTGACTGAATTTACTCAGAACACTGAAGGTTCACAGTGTTTTGAAATGCCCAGTGACGATGATGAGGAGTCTGTAGATTCCGACGAGACTCAGAGGCCCGCTAAGCGGAGGAGGATATTTGAAGATGAAAGCGAGGAAAAAGAAGGTGGCGGGTTACTTATGATACGAAAACCTGCCGACATTAATGGAGAAACTAATTTAGAAGATCTGTATGCAGATGAGGACGAGTACAGGTATTTGTTCCTTTTTGTATTTGTTACTTTTTTATCATTTTCATTTTTAGATTTCATTTAGGTAAATATTACTGCTATTTTTTTTTCATATAGGTAGTATATGTACTAGTAATTGACAACAATGCAAGTAAATACCAATAACATTTATTGTTATACCATTTTCTATTGAATTTAATACTAAATAGAGTGAGATTCTCGTATTTGCATTGGCTTATACTTGAGATTAAATCCAATGTAAGCAATACAATTGGCTATTTTTGGCACTGCCACTTAAAATTCAGGAAAACGCTAATTTTAATAGTTAGTTTAATATCATTTCGGCGAATTTCGATGAAAAAAAATTATAATTTTATTATTTCATTACTTTGTCTTCTATTTATACGGTGTGGTTTTATTTTCAGCCTTCTTTTCATACGACTGGATCGTAGAACATTTTGTTTTCGAAATACAGGGAGTTGAATTTAAAAGTATATTTTCCCTAATATCCCTGGTGATATTTTACATAGGCTGACGAAACTTGAGCAGTTATATATCTAATTATTTAATAATTTATTTTAGTTTGATTCAATGTGACATTTGTAGAGTAATGTGACGATCACTCCTACATACAAAAAATTATATAATTTTGCAAAAAGTATTAAATAAATACACTTAAGAAATAAGAATAAGAAAGGTTGATAAAATAATTATGAAATTGGTAGCTTTCTTAACCTTCTGATTACTGATACATTTTTTCATACTGACTTTATTCGTATTCTCATTTTGTTTAGAAATTTTTTACCTTATGCGTGATTTCTGTCACTTATTTTTAGTTTCATATCTTAAGTTCATTGGGCAGACATACAGAAAGACTAAACCTGCTATCGATATGTTTTAGGTACCAACCTTTGAGTTTATTGCAATTGGCTTTAAACGTTATAAATAAAGAAAACGTACCTGACTATGAGCCTTTCGACTTCACAAAAGAACTAGTGTACCCCAAATGCAATTACTGTGCGGCAACGTTCCAAAACCTGAAACTCTTAGCGATACACGAAACCGTTCACATGGACGTGGAAATGGGCGAAAAGATCGATAATCCGGTACCGTGGCACCACTCCAGAGAAAATGCAGAGATACGTAACAAGTGGTTGAGCTACTTCGACGAAAATGGGTACGAAGACGACGATATTATTATCGACGTGGTGACCAACGACCTACTGATTCCCATGGACATGAAAGAAGAGAGGACCGGCCTTACAGGCGAAGAGCAGATTGTTTTAGTGGGGACACAACCGATGGTTAACGGTATCTACCTGGGGGACTACACCAAGGAGGAGAGGAAGTCTTTTTATCAGTCCATGCGTATACAGGGCGTCAACAAGAAGTTCTGTCACCTGTGCCGGTACTGCTTCAAAGACAATTGGGCCATAGAGAGCCATTATTTTTCTTCGGCTTGCTATTACACGTGTCGGTACTGCGGGATGAGGTTTAACAAACAGCGACACAGATATAACGAACATGTGGAGGAACACAAGACTCAGAACCACGATATCTCCGATAAAATATTCGCAGCTAGTAAACTGAGCAACGTCGTACCGAAAGTAATAAATCCCCAGAAGGCGAGAAAGGTGGTGGTGGGAGACCAAAATCCCCCGCAGCCCATTCAGATACAACCTCAGCAGCCGTCTCCTCCCGCTCAATACAGCACCCCAGGGGGGCAGCCCATAAGAGTCAAGAACTTAATGGAGCGTCGCACCCTCCAGCCGAACCTGCAGATCAAGGAAGAGCCTCAAGAACCAAAAGACATAATAACTTCCCAGTCCAAGACCGGCAATCAGGCTTACTTCTGCCGGAAATGCTACAAAGTGTTTTTCAAACTCGACGAATTCAACGTGCACAGCAAAAATTGTGATTACAACCAGTTTCCTCAGTTGAGAAACATGGCGAAGCCAGCGTACCATTCCAAGAATGGGGAAGTGCCGACTTCCCCTGCAGGCCGGCCGATCCGCAACTGCGCCAAGGAGATAGGCCCTTACAAAGACGAGGCCTACCTCCCGGACTCCATCCTGAAGGACCCTAAGCCCAACACGCCGCAGAGTTTCGTCTGTTTCATATGCAATACTCCGTTCCCCACCATATATTCGAGGAACAGCCACATGCGCATACACAAAGGGGAAACGCAGGCAATGCCTTCGACCAGTCAAAAACCGCGCTCGCAAATGCAGAACAGCTACCAGAATTACAGGACGCCCCCCCCGCAGACCCATCAAGTGCTCATAGCCGAGGGTATGATCAAGCAGGAGCCCATGGACATGCCCATGGAGCCCATGGTGGAGATCCACGAACCCGAGCAGAACTACACGGGATCCATAGGCGACGGGGCCGTCAGTATAACGCCCATCAGTAAAAATCCTAGGCAAAAGCCGACGATCAACCCGAACATCATGCGGATAGTGCAGAACAACCCGCAGCTGTCCATCAAGAAGTCCCCCGAGAAATATCCCATGCCGGGTAGTAGTAATAATCACGTGCATATGGGCGTGGCCCCGCCCGACTTGGATAAGTCGTATAAATGTTCCTCGTGCTGGGAGGCGTTCGCGAACAAGTCTCACTTGTATTTCCATAAAAAGAACCAGTGCGAGGGGTCTCGGTTTCCCTGTCCCTTCTGCAAGAAACGATTCGGTACCGAAGCAGCGTACAGCTCCCACATTTTCTATAGTCACCCTGAGTAACTTGCCCGATACGCGACTTAGTGCTGCGGCAGAATTGTTTTGTAAATTTATTAAATAACGATAAGACTCGATTCATATTTATTTTATTGGTTCCGTTTTATTGACATTCTATGATATCAGACCTTATTCCAAATTGTGTGTTTTTACCTTATAAGTGACGTATTTTAAGATAGCGTAAGAATCTCAAGCAGAGGATCGCTTTGCGTAGACGATCGGACATCATGTGGTTATTTATTTTTTTACGGTTCTCCTTGATTATGTATATTTAGTTATTATATGATAATTATTTAACTAGCGCTTCTATTTTTGTATAAATTGCACCCATTTTAATTTCGGAACGTCAGTATTGAAAACAAAATTCACGCTTTGTTTTTAGTTTAATGTGGTAAGACGTATTTTAAAGTTTTGTATGATTAGTCTGTATGAAGTAGGACATTGAATTTTTATGTAAATAATTATGTAATAGGTTTTCAGAAGTGAATAAACCATATATATTTAATATTATTTGTAATTTCATTCCGTCCACCGATAATTTTCCGACGATTTTTCTTTAAAGAACCCCATTGAAAAGCTTGTGAAGGTGCAAATGCTGGTGTTCCAAATAACAAGTACGGTATTTTAATAACAATTGCCTCAAATAATTTGGTTGAATTTTATTAAAAAAAAAATCCTTACCAGTCTTAAGAATAGTCCAACCAAATTACACTTGGAGAAAAAAGAATTGTTACCTGGACTTTTATAAGTGAAAATGATAAAACGAACAAAAAAGTATCCAATGCAAAAGTTGTAGATCATGCTAAAATCTACAACTTTTGTAGAGGTCACGAAAAAAAGTTTTTTTTCTGATTTTTCGTTTTTTATTTCTCATTTCCGCAAAAATAACTTAATTTCGACGAGACTTGGTGAAAGTATACCTTTCTGTGTCTTAAATAATCACAAATTTTTTTAGATAAAAAAATCAAGAAGTTTCCAAGATATTCATTTTTTCTAGTCTGAAACACTTTTTTTCAAAGAAAAATTCTACTTAGGAAATTCATCGTACAAAGTTCTGCCGGTGATCACTTTTTTCGTTTTGACATACACTTTTTGGTAAACTAAAAAAAATCTGTAATCAAAGTTCAGAAACATGCTCAAAAATGCAAAAATATAATAAATGACGCAACAATTAATTTTTCAGTAATTGTTGATAATTTGTTTAAATTAAAAAAAAATAAAAAACTGATTACACCATTGAATTCCCATCAACCCTCCGCCACCCCTGCTCACGCATTTATTTTTTTCGTTTAGTACAAACCCCTTTACCATTTCCATTTATAAAAGTCTAGGTAACAATTTTCTTTTTTTCAAAAGATATTTTAAAACGTTTAACAATACAGGGTGTCCCACCGGGAACTGCGTCGATCGATATCTTGGAAAGTACTGCTCCGAAAAACTTGAAAATGTCCCTGGCAATGTCCCTGAAGCAAACACAACTAAAATATCCAGAACATTCCAGTTCTTCCGGTTATACCAGAACCAACTTCGTTATTTTAAATGGGACACCCTATATATTATTGCATTTTCGGATTCTACGTAAAATTTGAGGGTCACTATTAAATATTCCCTATACCTAAGTTATAGATTTTGAGATATTAATTTTTAAAGAAAAATTTTGACAGATGCAAGGGTCTGCGGAGATGCTAGTAACTCTTTACAGGAGCGTGATATCAAACGGATTTTTGATACCTGTAAAGGGCATAGGTAACGCTAAATTATGGTATACCACAAATTAAAACATTTAATACTAGGTGTTTCATTGTTGCTGTTACATTTCGATAATTTCAAACGGATATAACTTTGTTAACTTAAATGGAACACCCTGTATTTTTTTACTCCTTCGTATGTAGATTGAAATTTCCTTTCAAGCCATATAAGCATCGTTAGGGTTGCCGTTACCACTTCTAGAGATATTTGCAATTTTCTATTTTGTGGACACCTTTTCTCGTATAAGACCTGTTGTCAAATTGGCCATGACCAGAAACATTCCAAAAAAAATATAAATAAAGAGAATATCAACTGATCCACATATTTATTTGCCAATTTAAAGATACAAAGCGTTTATTGACTAGCCAATTAGTAAGAGCACTTATAATTAAAAAAATAAAAAAAATTACCCGCTCTATCGCTGCCCACATACAAAAAAAAATCCTTACGAAACTAAAAGTAAATTAAAGAAATAGTGAGAGACAAAATAAGTACTAACAGATTAGCACCATTCGTGAATCTTATATGTCTTTTGGTAACTTAGCAAATGGCACTTCCACATGTAATTTTATAAAAATACTGTTACTTTAATCTTATTCATACGTCAGAAAAATAAAAAAAAAATTGTTGCAGATTTGAAGTATTCAAAAATTTTAATCGGTTAACTTGACCGGTCGGTAGACCAAATAATTTTAATCAAAAAGTTTCATATGAATGCACGGCATAGAAGGTTTAGTTTTATTGATACTGGGTGTTGAAATAATATAATACATTTTCTCAAACATCTCTGAAGATATTTGATGTGAACTGATAAGACTTGGGTCAACGATTTATTTAATTAGATATAAAATTTCATTGAGTTAGCTTAAGTCGACCACTGGTGGAGATAGTAGGGCACATTGCGACCAAAAAGTCCAAAACTCTGTCATATCTAATTTAAAAATTATATAAGTGCATTTAATTCTCGATGGTACTTCTATGCTTCCCGTCAAACATCCTCGGAGGTATTTCAGAAATTGTGATTTTTTTTTTTCAAATTCAACCACATTCGTAAGAAACTTTTTACTTAAAATTGTTCCGTCTCTTCTGGAAAATTTGCACAAACGTGTATAATTATCTCGCAAAAAAGAAATTAAGTACTTATGAATATACAAATATACTGGAGAAAATTCGTATTTGAATATATTTTCATTTCTATAGTCTTGAGTATACATCAATACAATAATATAGATGAGATATAGGCACTTAATAAGTAGAATTAATAATTGATATACAATATGTTACATATATAAATAATTATATATTTAAGACGATAAATGCTTAAAAAGGAAATACAAAAAAAATAACTGGAAGAACTGTCGTGTCTGTTACAGAACACTGCTAATCCCTGAATATTATATATACAATCTACAAAGGGGATACTTAATTAGATAAAAAAAAATATTTCGTTTGATTAATTTCTCATAAATTTGCATCACGATATGACGAGGTCTGTGACCCCTGTTTGATATAACTGATACGACAGTCATATCTAAATTATCTGATAATAGTGTATTTTTAAAATGCTATTTTGAAATAAACATACTTAACTAAATTAATTTTTCATAATGCTGCTTCAACGAAATTCACATAATGCCTATTACAACAAAATAAATTTTTAATTTTGTAATATTTATTATAAATATAAAGATACATCAAATATAATTATAATTTTGTCAATTAGTATCCCCAGTATCTGCACGTCTACATTTAAAATAGTGTGAATATTAATATTCAAATGGAAAATCTAATCCTTTCTACATACAGGGTAGTCCCAAATTGCCACCCAATGCTGACATCAAAAAATATACCTTTCTATCAATCTTTTCCGAAAATTTTAACTATATCTTAAAAGTCCTTGGAGATATCTTAGTTTTCTTTTTTTTTAAATTATTTGATGGTAATTTGTTAATATAAGTTATTACTTTCGATATATGTATTCGTGTAACTTATCTATTAATTAAAAGTCGTTAGTTTGGAGTTAAGGAAATAATCGCTACAGAACTCTCAAAAAAATGTATATCGCGCAATTTTTTTTTTCATGCGAAAATAAAACTGGCATTTCAATAAAAAATAAGTGTAAGTATTTTTTTTATCTCTAAAACACCATAGATCAATATCTTCCCAAAATTAAAAACATATTGCTTATCTAAGATATGGGATTCTAATAATATTGTGTAAATTAGTATCGAGATGAGTCTATATTAAAAACACGAATAAGATGTCTCGAAGGATATGAATGAATTAGAGATGTGCTGTGGGCATGTCCCGAGGACACTTTTCAAGATTGAAAAGTTGTTTGCGCATGCGCGGAATCATTTATTACATTCATAATTCCCGCAAAAAATTTTTGAGGTTGGTATATGTAAAATTAAAGATATTTAGTGATTTTCTTGTAATTTTGTTGGCAATTGTTTAATTGCAACACATTTTAAAAATATAACCTCTTATATCTCCATATTTTATTATTTTTGGCAAAGTTAACGATTAGTAAATAGTAATCAGTTGATTTTTAATTTAATATTTAATACACAAATAATTTATAAATGAAGTATAACGCCAAAATTTGGTTATTTTTCTGAATTGAATAAAAATCATAAATGTAACATCTGCTCAAAAACAATTTTAAGAATTCCAGTAGGATGCAAAAACATTTAAATAAGTGTATTGGCTGTCCGGGGAAAATTAGAAACCAGTTTATATAAAAGTCTAAAGGTAGGTAATAAGTAAAATATATCGACGCATATTCATTAGAATAAAAGTAATATTTTGCCTTGTGTACCCTCAAACAACCTGCGAAAACATGACATCACTCATAGGAGCCTTATTAGATTCAAAGTCAAAAGTATTTTTCCCGACATGTCCGTAACACACTTTAGTGCCCATCTCTAATATGAATACGAATAACATCCCATAAAAAATATATAATCTACCATCCCTTTCGGTGTATCTCCGTTAATATCTATTTTTGGAAAAAAGTTAACGAAAAAAGATACTTTTATTTTTTGATATACCCCCTGAAAATATCGAGAGACGACTTAGGATCACTCTTTATATTTGCATGTTTCACAGGATTTCACTTACACCTCTCATGGATTTTTGCAATAGAACAAAAATTCCTAATTAGTAAAATTCGACTGGTAACTCCGAATAAAGCGCATCTTTACAAAAATGTCTAAAAATTTGTGTCATTTTCGGATTCCTAAGCATAGCTCGCATCACAGTCACATCTTCAATACGAAAATATTACTAGATTTAGTCACATGAATAAACACTGTTACTTTTTAAAGCCAACCCTTCATCTTCCCACCTAATGACTGTCGCCAGGTAAGTAAATCCCTTTTTACTTAAATATGGAAAATAGCTTAGAGTTATTTGTACAAAAACGTATACAAAATAATAATCGTTATGACACGGTTTGTCTACTTTCTTCTATCAAATTTTCTTGGTTATCCGGCGAAGTGTACATTATGTTGGCCGATATAATTATGGGATATTCCAGATCTTTGTCGAAGGACATAATCTGTATCTCCTCGCCTTTGGCCAAAGGAATTTTTAATATGTCCGACTGTTTCATGTAAACGATCTGTCTCTGTTCGTTAAGTCTCACCACAGTAACTCTACGAAACAGGAAGTTAGATTCTGGTTACACTTACGTTACCTGTGAGGAGTACCTTATAGCTACGTGTCTCGACGTTTGTAAACTCAGCAACTGTTCAAATTCGGACCTGTGATTCCTTTTAATGGATAAAGTCAATCCGTCGGTTATCATGAGAAGATCCACTCCAAAATGGAATCCTGTCCACCTCCAAACGTGCCTTTCGTTCACCGATAGTACTCTTCCACATCTCAAGCTATTTCCGAGGAACACTTCGTCAGGTATATCATTCGGACTGAAATAAAAATTTTAAACAAGTAAATAAAGAATGTACACCCTCATTTTACTAATAGTAACACGGAATTTACCCCTTGTCATCATTTTGGTTAACCCGTAAAACGTTCTTCCACTGCTGTAAAATCACAGGATCCAACCAAATTTTAGGAATAATATTGTCACGTAAAATTAATAAAACGTCCAACTGGTGAGACACAAGATTCTGTAATCTTAGCCCTTGGAATACCGACATGAATTGCTTGCCTTCACTTGTTAGAAGATAGGGCAACTTATCTGAAATTTTTCAATACTTAATGTAGGTAAACGTTCAATAATTTGTTTTATAGTTTGTTATAGTCACAAATGAATATAATTTTATACTTTGTCTCAACTCACCAGTCCTTGAACAAAAATATTCATTTACAGTGGTAATTGATGGTTCTCCAGTATCCGGATACAAGTGAAGATACACCCAATATTTTAACATAACGTATATGGAATACTCAGTTTGTATAACAAACAAATCGGGATGAGAGACCAACTTAGCCATAAGTGATATCGGAATGGTCTTAAGTTCAGATAAAGGATGGCTAAAGTAGTAAGGCATTAGATTGACCAAAAACCATTTAAAACACACTTCTTGAAGTTTTTTGTCACCATACTGACATGCGGCATTATAATAATCCAGTGAGGTCTAAGAAAATACATTTTGATTTGAAGTAAATTTAAATAAAAATGTCGTACCTTCGGATTTATCGTTTCCAACATAACTTCTGTACATTTTTCAATCAATCCGTCCAGTTGGAACATAGTCGCAGTTGCCAAGATTGGTACGATTTCTAGAGGATTTAGAACTATTTCACAGTTATACAAGGAACCTAATACAACTTTTAATGCTAAAACAAAATCATAAATGTATATAAAAACCAACTATATGCCAGACACTTAAGCATAACTTACAGTCAATAGTTATCAGTGGATCCACCACGTCAATATTTATAAATTTTTGTGTTGTTTCTAACCAAGACCCTCCAAACATACTTGCAAAGTATGGACTCTGACACAAATACACCCTGTGCAAATTGAACTCTTCGCCTAAAGCACATACTGTCACATCTGAATTTTTTCCTTCCATAAAAAGCGCTTGATATATGTATTTTGCGGTGCTAACCAACTTTTTCCTACAAATGTATACGAATAATAATTTCCACGTCTAATACATCATTTGGTACCAACCTTTTTGGAGTATGAAGAGCAATATCAATAACCTTATTGACCTCTTCCTCATCTGATTCACTATGTTTACGCTTCTTACCAGTAACGTAACCAGTAACGTTATTTACAATGTTTTGTGTTTGTGCAGAAAAAGTTGCACCCATTTTGGAATATTTTTCTTATATTTCTAAACTAGGTCAGTGGTTGTAATTTCTGATACAAAAATCACTTATTTGTTGTCCATTTGAGTTTAAAATTCACATAATAAACATTAATTACACACAGTTCTTCCAAAGTCGATATAAAAACATTAATTTCTTATTTATACGACAAAAAATTTAATGTTTTTTAACATTTTTGCACTACCAACTTTCTTCTCTTGTGTTTACATCATAACGACTCGTCAGATGAGATTAATATTTTCTAAATGTCGAATGCAAATTATCTGTATTAAAATATCTAATCAGTAAATCCAATTATATCCTATTTAACAGCAAAGTTTGTACAAAATAAGGTTGGTCTCGAAACTTACATATTTTTTAAATTAACTTTGACAAGTCCCCATCTACGCCTCTGGAAATACGATCCTAAAAAAAACCTTCTTTACCAACCAAAATAAATAAAGTTGACAGCCGTCAGTTGAGCAACGGAGAACAGAATGGGTTTTGGTTGTGTCATCTCCAAAAATACTCCTAATTTTAAGTACCATTCTGTAAACTGAATATTAATAAGCTTTTATGTCATGCAACCACTTTCGTTTCGTAATGGTATATATTTGTAAATCAGGGCCATGTTAAAAATCAATGGTATTAGATTGTTGAAAAGGAATGTGAGGTTATGTTCCTCACATTTTGCTATTTATAATAAAAATAACGATTACTATTCTTTTTGGTCATGTAATAGAACCATTAACAATGATTTACTTCAATTGAGACATTTTTCATTGCAGTCTACTGTAGAATCAATAGTAAAAACCCAAACAGGTATTTTCAAAACTTTATCGGAGAGTACCCCCGTTGAATATGCCCAAAAGTTTTTGTTAACTGTACATGACACTACAGGCTTACCATGGTGGGCTTCAGTAGTTTGTTCGACTATTCTTTTACGCACGTGTGTTACCTTACCCTTAGCTATTTACCAGCATTATATTTTGGCAAAGGTAGAAAACTTAAAACTTGAAATGCCTAAGATAGTTAAAGAGTTAAAGCATGAAATTGCTTTAGCTATCAGAATGTACAACTGGGATGAAAAAACTGCTAGAATAACATTTAACAGATCTGTAAGTTTTACATTATCCTTAATTAAGTGGAAAATATATTTCTAATTTAGGTAAGGAAACAGTGGAATGATTTAATAGTACGAGAAAACTGCCATCCGTTTAAAGCTAGTCTTCTGTTATGGTTCCAAATCCCAATGTGGATTTCTCTGTCTGTAGCAATAAGGAATTTAGTATATATGCTACCGAATCGTGATTTGGATGCTAAACTGATTTTTACAGAATTATCAGTGGGTGGATTTGCTTTTATACCTAATCTGATAGAGACGGATTCTTCGTTAATACTACCAGTGGTCTTAGGAATCACCAATTTAGCAATTATAGAGGTGATAAAGCATTTTAATGAAGATTGTCATAATTATTTTTTAATAATTTCCAGTTGCAAGTTTTATCAAGAACAAACGCTCCTTCAAAGTTGCAAAGATATATAACAAATTCTTTTAGAGGGTTTAGCATAATTATGGTCCCTATCGCAGCTTCAGTACCATCAGTAAGAAATACTTATACTACTAATTATTTATGACCAAATAAATAAATTACACTTTTTTCAGTGCCTTACATTATACTGGACAACTTCAAGTGTTTATGGGTTGGTACAAAATTTAGTACTACTTTCCCCAAAAGTTAAAAGATTTTGTAAAATACCGAAGACAGTTATTGAATTACAGCATCCATATCAACAAGTAGTTATAGGAATTAAAAATAAATTTAATTTTGTGCAAAGATAATAAATATGTACGTGTTCAACGTTTTATTTTTCCCATTTTAATCTTCAATTCCAACAAAAAATATACAGTAAAAAATTGAAAATGTCTCAAATTAGCTAAACATTTATTTTGTGAAAATTCAATTATTAAACTTAAACTAAAGAATCCTATCCAGTGATTACATGAAAAACTATGATTTTAATTCGATTTTATTAATATTCTCTGTCCCTGTGCCATTTTCTATAATATATCAAAAATCTTATAAATAGTATAATAAATAAATAAATTAATAAATATCCCCCACAGAATTACAGGCTAATTTAAAATTTAAGTTGGCAGCGATCACGTGACAATAAACCTAAAAAATCAACATGGCTTTAGAAAGTCAATGTTGTCATACCTGACTGTCATGGTTTTTCTTGTCTACGTGTAGGAATGTTGAATATTTGTATATTCCGGTGATTTATGGAGAAAATACAAGTGATATTCAGTTAAAAATCCCGGCATCACTTCAATAAATTAATAGATTTAAGTAAAAATGCACCATTTTTGTAAAATATTAGTTTTATCCTTTGTTATTGGGGCGTATACTGATGAACACAACCACATAGTAAGTGAGAAAAATTCTAAACATTTCAATTTTACACATGATTATGGCGTTGAATTTAAATAGCCAGCAGATGTATTCGTTATGTCGAAATTTTGAGATGAAATTGAATATATTTTTGTTTTAGTACGATGAAAACGAAGAGGTAGTACTGTGGATGAACACTGTTGGTCCTTATCATAACCGACAAGAAACCTATGCATATTTTTCTCTGCCTTTTTGTGTTGGGTCGAAGGAAACTATAAGTCACTATCATGAAACACTTAGCGAGGCATTACAAGGCGTTGAGTTGGAATTTAGTGGAATTGAAATTGAATTTAAAAGTAAGTCCTTGTAAATTTATCAGATATCAGATTAAATAGTCAATATATTTTCTTTATACAAACATTACATGTATTTTTAGATAACATGCCGAAGGGTGAATATTGTGCGGTTCAACTTGATGAAGAGAAATACAAAGCATTTGTTTATGCAGTAAAAAATCATTACTGGTATCAAATGTACATTGATGACTTGCCTATTTGGGGTGTAGTAGGCGAAGTGAAAGATAACAATTATTATATTTGGACGCACAAGAAATTCGAGATTGGATTCAACGGCAAACAAATAATCGATGTCAATTTAACTTCCGAGGATAAAGTACCTCTGTCACCAACGGCAAGATTATCCTTTACATATGAAGTCATTTGGAAGAGAACCGATACAAAATTTGAGGATCGCTTTGATAAATACCTGGATCACAATTTCTTCCAACATAGAGTGAGTTTTTTTTGTGTGATGGTTCGTGCTGTGTTAATAAATCAATTTTAGATCCATTGGTTTAGTATATTCAACAGTTTTATGATGGTAATTTTCTTAGTGGGGTTGGTATCTATGATCCTGATGAGAACGTTACGGAAAGATTACGCTAGATATAGTAAGGATGAAGACATCGATGACATGGTGAGTCACATAATTTTTATTTTTGTGTTGTATTCTTTATTGAAACAAAACATTTATATATAGTTTAGATTAGAATATATAAAGATAATTTTCAATGCAACAGCAAAATTCTCATTGCTTGTGTGATAATTGTGTTTTACGATTTTGAACTTGACATTTCTAATGATTGCGACAATAATATGCGGTAATGAAAGGGAAAGTTGCCTTTAGGTATAGTGAATGGTGTCATCCTTTTTTGAATATAAAACTGGTTGGCATGAATTATTCAACTGCTACAGTACAGTGTTAACTTTTTTTAAATTATTAAGATTTTTTAAACATTTTCTTTATTTTTTTTGTCATTGTAATTCTAAAAATATTTATAATTACTATTATTCAGTGTAAATATATTAGCATATTTATAATTAATAGTATAATAATAATATTTTAAATGTTAAAGTAATAACTGTCCGAGGAACTGGAATCAGCTGTAATTATTTTTTTATAAAGCCACATCTGTTTAATTATTTGAATAATTATAATAATCAAGACGATTATAAGTTTACATTTCAAATTGTTTTAAGTTCAGATTAGTAATTTTAACTGAATAGTATAGCGTAACTTTCACAATCATTTTTGTCTCGATTTAAAAGAAATGTTAATACAGTTTTAGGTAAATGTCTGCAATATATTTTATTTTTATTGGTTTTAGAATGCAGATATTGTATAATTTAAATAAAAATAGAATTGAAACGGGAACAAGTTGAATTTATAAATGGCTTTAATTCTAAATTATTTTTTAAGTGATTTTGTAACTATTTAAATAATATTTTTTGTTACATAATTATATCCCGTGTATGTGTGAAATTTTGTACAGTTTGTTTGTCTCTACTTCTGTATATTACTATATTGATACGAGACAAAGTAAATGATGGTCATTTTTAAACGTTAGAATTGAATATTTTAATGTTGCCAAATTTCCTTTCTAAAATTTTTTGTGTCAAATATTTGAAAATATTTTTATCATTTAATACCCGTGAACAAACACTATTTCTGTGGATATTGTTAAGTATTTCTCTGAAGCATTATTTATGAGAATTAGAGATTAAACAAAGCAGATAGATATATGACAATCTATAATCCTTTTAAATGTGTTTGTCCTGATTTCTCCTATTAGAAAATCATAATTGCATTCTCTAATAACCGAAGTTCGTTTTCACAGATCTTGGACAAGTTATTTTGCAAAATTGAAGGATGTTTGTTTACATGGAAATATTAATTTTTTCACAATAATTTTCTGTTACAAATTTTGTATCAAAAATTAATAGCAATTGCTGAAAATTAAAGTGATTGTACCTTAATAAAAAAAGTGTGGGACTTGTACAGTTTTTTTTAGATGATTTCTATGGTTACAAAGTAAATTTTCATAATTTTCTTCATAACTGTACTCAATTGAATTTTATTTTTGATTTTAATTTTTCAAACTTAATTTTATGGAAATCAAAATTTTTATAAAAAAAAGTATAACAAATGCATCAAATATTTTTTTTTAAAGTTAATGTAAATCGCATCCTCCCTTATCAAAATACAACCATTTTAATTTGCTAAAATACGCATTTGAATTATTAGGAAAGAGATTTGGGAGACGAATATGGTTGGAAACAGGTGCATGGAGATGTTTTCCGCCCTGCCTCGAATTCTCTTTTATTCTCTGCTCTTATCGGTGCTGGGCATCAGCTGACCACCGTTGTTTTCAGCGTTATCATATTTGCTATTCTAGGCGAATTGTATACAGAGTGAGTATTATTTCCCTGCCTCGTATGATAAAATTTATTTTGTTTCACGAATTTTATATTCTTGCAACCAATTTTAGACGTGGTTCGCTTCTGTCAACTGCCATATTCGTTTATGCTGTGACGTCCCCTATTAACGGATACTTTGGGGGTTCCTTATATGCTCGGATGGGCGGCAAAATATGGATTAGACAAATGATAGTTTCTGCTTTCATGTTGCCTGCCTTCGTTTGTGGCACGGCGTTTTTCATCAATTTCATCGCTATCTATTATCACGCCTCGAGGGCTATACCCTTTGGAACCATGGTAAGATTTCTAAACCGTGATTGAAAAGTGATATCAATTTGTGTAATTTTCACCAGTTATTTAAAGATTTCTAGCATTTGTTACAACACATTACGATAGTTAAAGTGTTAAGAATTTTGCTCAATGCTGCTTATACCAGAGTTCCAAAATAGTAGGCAGTGAATCTCATAATTAAATCAAACTACAATTTTTACAAGTTCTTACTTGAGCTTTACTTATCGTGTACAAAAAGAGAGATTACCAGTGCTGTGTTGTTTCATTTTTTTGATTTATTAGTGTCCAACTTGGGCGTTTCCTTTCATATCATATGCGTGTAACTGGGAAAACATTATTTTGATCTATTAAGGTCAGTGTGATATTTAATAAATTCTCTGAGTCACTGTCTACAATTTTAGGACTTTGGTGGTTTACATATATAAAAAAAATTGTGAAAAATGTTATTTTAGGTTGCTGTTACATGCATCTGTTTATTCGTTATACTACCTTTGACGTTGGTGGGAACGGTCCTGGGAAGGAATCTGGCGGGTCAGCCAGATTACCCGTGTCGCATCAATGCCGTGCCTCGACCCATCCCGGAGAAAAAATGGTTCATGGAGCCTGGCGTAATTATATTAGTCGGTGGTGTTTTGCCGTTTGCCAGTATTTTCATTGAAATGTAAGTTTCATAAGAAGTTTCAAACTAGCAACTGATATCGTTCCGTTTTAGGTATTTTATATTTACATCGTTCTGGGCATACAAGATCTATTACGTTTACGGCTTCATGTTGCTGGTTTTCATTATACTGATGATAGTGACGGTGTGCGTGACGATCGTCTGCACTTACTTCCTGCTGAACGCCGAAGACTATCGCTGGCAGTGGACATCGTTCTTAGCGGCCGCCTCGACTTCCGGCTACGTCTACGTTTACGCCATCTATTATTTCTTCTTCAAAACAAAGTAAGTGACTGTACGGAGTGTTTGAAAATTTGGAGAGAGCAAAAAAAAAGGTTGATGGGTGATTGATTAAATAAATTTTTTGCTTCCAATTTCCATATACCTCTATATTATTCGACAAGAATTCACGTTATTTATGTGTTTGTGAATTAAAAAAATTATTTGATTTGTCTTTCAGGATGTACGGGTTGTTCCAAACAGCGTTTTACTTCGGCTACATGGCCCTGTTCAGCGGTGCCCTGGGCATAATGTGCGGCACCGTGGGCTACATAGGGACGAGCATATTTGTTAGGAAAATCTATTCCACCGTTAAGATAGACTGATAAGCTGGTCGAAGTACCGTGTATATAGCCGTGTTTTCTGTTGACGTGTAAAATGTGGATTCGTCTCCGATTTTGCACTTAGTCTAAGAAGGTTAGTGACTCGCTTATCTTCTTGTAAGTGACAAAATGGCCTTTAACACCTTATTAGACCTTGGATTATTTAATGTTATCCCGTTAAATTTCATTTCGTGGATGTGTTGTTTATATTTAGGAGTTTTTCATCTGCTTTTTGTGATTTTTAAACGAGATAATACTTTTTATTGGTATATTTTTCATATTTTGTGTACATATTTTAGTCCTAATCATATTTATAAGTTTGTGAAACGGCGCGGCAGTAGGTGAATTGAATTTGGTTGGGTTTTTATATCGTTTTAGATAAATGTGAATGGGTACCCGAGCGTTTTTGAAGAAAATATCGAGTAAAGACTCGGTTTTCTTCTTTTCGTGTTTTACAACTTTCATTTACAATAAATTATAGCATTAATAGGACTATCATTATTGGTTTGGTGTAACTACTGCTGCTATAGAATATGGAAGTTCAATGTTTCATTTAATTGTAAAATAATTTAATAAAAATATTAAAGTAAGATCCTCCACTTTTTTTAAATAATTTGGGTAGACGTGTTGGTCCCGAAAGGTAAGTAAAAACTGATACATAGTTTAAAAAGTTTACCGACAATGATACTGAAATGAAATTTTGTGTGTACTAAACGTAAAAAAAAAATAAATCTCGGCTCAAACCATGCAGGAACTAAATATGCCCTAAGTCAAGTGGTGGCATTAGGCACTGTTTGTTAATTTTAGTGTCAATGACCTGACATTAACCTAGTTTGAGTGAAGTACATAATAATCCTGATGTGATATGACAACACGGTGCTAGGCAGGAAAAAACAGCGAATAGTAATTTGAGAAAATATTCCAATCAATCTGTCACGGCCTAATGTTAAATGTACAAAAAATATCACTTGGAAACAAAAAATATGGTGATATAGGAAAAAAATTCTAAGAAAGATAGTGTATTTTTCCTGCGGCCCATAAACGGCGAAGTTAAACCAAAAAAATTCATAAAAGTAAAAAAAAAACGATTTTTCGCTAATAAAAAAAAAGTTAATTGAGAAAGTTGTAGTTATTAAAAAAACCTATTGATTCGTATTTTAAATATATCGATTGCTATATAACTTTTCGAGATGTATCGAAAAAACCGTCAAAAATCGTTTTTTTTTTGTTTATGCTGTATCTCTTGCAAATTAAGGTTTTGAAACTTGTTACCTGTTGTATATATAGCCCCCAGCAAGCAAAGTGCCTTTTTTTTTAATTAAAAATTTTTTCGAGATATCGATTTTTCAAAAAAAAAGGTCATCTCGAAAATCGGCTGTTTTTGCTCAATGATTAGTCGTAGAGAAACAAGTCAGGGTTTTTTTTTCCTTAAGAGTTGTACTTTCATGGTAAAAAAGAATAATAATGAATTTATTCATTTCAAGTGTCCAAAAATGACTGAAAAAAGTAAAAATTTTTTGATTACGTTTTTCTTGAATATCTTTCAATTTTCATTTCTCGGTAATGACTATTACAGGAATCGATTGCTGGCAAATTACACGAATTTAAAAAAAAACGTAGCTCTACAACCCTCTGGATCCGAGATTTTTTTTTTCAAAAAATTCCACGTCGCTATTTAAGTGCTACAGCGTCCATTCTTACAGAGATTGAAGTTGAAGACTTATATTTTAAATAAAAAAATACTGTGGCTCATTTTAGCCACTTCTGCATTTTTAATTGTGCGACAAACCGAAGCATCGAGCGCGGGGCGAGCTAACTGTAATGGGGGTAACGCTACTCGGCCGCTCCGAAAACTGAATTCGCGCGTTCAAAAGCGCTCAAAATTGTCATTATCTCGACTTCTGGATCACGTACTTAAAAGGCGAGATATTCCAAAATATGACATTTACGACGGCCTCAAAAGCATAATCACCTTTGAAAAGTAATTTTCTTTTAGTCTAAAATTTTCTCACCTATAAGACGTCATAAAAGAAAATACAAATAAAAACTGAATTTTTTTATGCAGCCAAATATACACTAGCACTGTATTGTATGTTGCCTATCCAACAAACATTTATATGAAACTGCAAAAAACAAAAAAATCTTCAAAATTGGTGGAACTGGAGAGGAACTGAATGCAGTTTTGGAAAGGTCAGGGCCGTTAGAATACACCTGACTTTTTTCAGATTTTTCGGAGCCCTAAAAATTTTTGAGAAAATCGATCGAATTGCCCTTCTAAGATCGGTTTTGTACGCAACTGCTAACGCAACATTAGTAAATACACAAATTATATTACTGTTCAATTTTAATGCATCTACCTATAATCATTCATAATTCTATACCCATTAATAGATATCCCTTTTCTATTAAGTTATAAAAGAAAATATAAGTAAAAAACCTAACGACTGATAAAATTTATAAAATGTGAATTTTATGCACCAAGTATACACTAGCACTGTACTGTATGTTGCCTATCCAACAAACATTTAAATGAAACTGCAAAAAACAAAAAAAATCTTCAAAATTGGTGGAACTGGAGAGGAACTGAATGCAGTTTTGGAAAGGTCAGGTCTGTTAGAATTCACCTGACTTTTTTCAGATTTTTCGGAGCGCTAAAAATTTTTGAGAAAATCGATCGAAGTGCTCTTCTAAGATCGGTTTTTTACGCAACTGCTAACGCAACATTAGTAAATACACAAATTATATTACTGTTCAATTTTAATGCATCTACCTATACCTCATTAATAGATATCCTTTTTTCTTTTAAGTTATAAAAGAAAATACAAGTAAAAAAACTNGAAGTGCTCTTCTAAGATCGGTTTTTTACGCAACTGCTAACGCAACATTAGTAAATACACAAATTATATTACTGTTCAATTTTAATGCATCTACCTATACCTCATTAATAGATATCCTTTTTTCTTTTAAGTTATAAAAGAAAATACAAGTAAAAAAACTAACGACTGATAAAATTTATAAAATGTGGATTTTTATGCAGCCAATTATACATTAGCATTGTATTGTATGTTGCCTATAGACCTAAAACGTATGAAATTAATAAAAAATCGAAAATTTCAAAAACTGGTGGAGCTAAAGAGGAACAAAATACAGTTTTGTTTTGGTCAGGGGCGTTATTGTCTACTAGAATTTTTTCAGATTTTTCTGAGCTCTAACACTTTTTGAGAAAATCGAAGGACTAGTCCATGAAAAATTTCAAAAAATTAAAGTGCTCTTCTAAAGGCGACTTTGAGAATATATTGTTGTATGGAGTAGAATGAAAAGTAGCATTGATCGCATTATCTGCATCGAGGAAGAACCGACTATTTTCTGCATAGGGGAGATGATTTCTATTTATTTTGAACTGTCAAGTTCAATACAGAAATTATATAACTGTTCTATAAATTTCGTTTCAAATTATCACTAGAATTATTTTTATCTCCATTAAATAATTCAATATATTCGCATATTCACTGATTTTTTTTTATATTAGAGAAATTAAAACAATTTTAAAATACAATTTGGATAAAAGTCCAATAATCAGTTGACGGTTGCATATCTTCACTATTCACTAGTAATACCCCTCATTTTAATCGTAAGGATTAGCCCAGAAGTCGAAGACTTGTGCGGCAGAGGGGGCGACATATTATTATTCAGTAGGCGGCATGTGCGGAACTACTTACGTTGGTAAACCCCAACCACGATTCAGTGGGAAACCTCATAATTAGGAGGATGGTCAACGTTCTTCCACCCTACCATACCCGCAGAGAGGGTGCCTAATTCCTCTCTGTACTCATACTGTTCTGTATTCATATACAGTAAATATTTATATTGTGAAAAAACATGTATATATGATTCAAACGACAGAAGATAATGTCCTCTCAGCTTCAGGATGCACTTTCACATTTATTATTATAAATATGACCCCAATTCAGGTACATCTTGTATATTCTTAAATTTTGCCGAGGGATAAGTGTCATTGTTTTTGGTATGTCGTATCACACCCTAGTTATTAGTTTTTTTTATTTATATCAGAAACTTGAAATAGGTACTCTTGAAATACAAATGTATTAAAACAATAAGCATTTCTTTACGTTTTATTTCTGTAAAAATCTATATACAATGGACTCTTGTTCCAATAAAAATACATATACATGGTGGGCTATTTAGAAATAAAGAAAACATATTTATAATTCACCTACATCTAAAGAACTACCCTAATATAAATAAATACAAATATGGTAAATCATGTAAATATATATTGTATTTAATATAGAAAGGCACAATAACTCCTTGATAAAAAAGGCACTTTTTTATATTTTAACATCACGTGTACAATTTTCATTGTCACGGGGACAAATTTTTTTGTTCCAAAGAAAAATAATTCATAATCTCGAAATTTAAAAAGAAAAAATTAATTCTAACTTTACGTGAGCACCAAATTACAGGTTCTATTAAATTACATGTGTAGTGATCTACAACTAAAAATGAGTCGACAGTTACGTTTTCTACATAGTAGAAAAATATCACATTAAATTAGAAATATGTACAATTATGTTTCGACATAACAAATATCAGTTTTACAAAGAAAGAGAATCGGTTACGAATAACTCGACCAAGTCGCTGAAGCACAATAGATTGCTTAAGTACTACTGATTTAATATTTACCGTTATTTATTTAATTTAATGTTAATTAGAAAAAAAAGGGAGGTCGAATGATGTAATAATTTTTTTTTAATAACTTTTAATAAAATTTTATTTAATATAGGTGAGGAAAAATTGATAAATGAGTTTATGTTATCAAGAAAAATATTTATTAATGAAATAAATTTAAATTCTGTAACAATATAATTTTAGTACCTTTTATAATTATAGACGATTTATATAAAGATATATTTTGTATATAATTAACAGAAATTACTATAACAGATATGTTTAACATAATATTGCAAATGAACTATATTCTGAGTGTAACAAAACCTCTACTATTTTTTTTAAATAAATAAACTTACTATTGAGGTTTTACTAAAATATATGGCAACAATAACGTACTATTTACGAAATAAGTAAATTTTATAGTTATTTTACCAAGTTACGTTCGAAACTTTATTTCAGTGATTATTAGCCCCAATAAGATTTTGCGTCACCCAGTACTTCAAATAAAACTCAATTTTCCTTTACAAAAGGAATAACACTAAATATATTTTTTATAAAAAAATACCAAGCGCCTAACTATTCTGAGAATATGAAATAAATAAATCTTGGAGAATATTTTGTACATAAAAAAACTGTATAAGATATTAGCACGTCAAAATTTCAGGAAAATTAGTCCACCACTTTACGGAACGCAAATTATTTTGCTTCAGCGACTTTAAACTCGGCGGTTACACCGATTTTAGCGGCATCTAGATGGTTCTTTTTCATGTGATTATTGAGTTGACTTTGCCTGATGAAGCCCTTCGAGCAAAGAGGACACTTGATCGGTTTATCGACAGAATGAGTTAAGAGGTGTCTGTTCAGCACGTCGTTCCGTCCGAACTGCTTGTTGCAAATCTCGCAGTGGAACGGTTTTACGTGCAAGTGGGTAAGTAGGTGCTTACTGAGATTGTGAGACTGCTGGAAGCGCTTGTTGCAAATGTTGCATATGCAAGGCTTCTCGCCCGTGTGGACCCTGGTGTGCCTTTCCATGTCGCAGAGTTTACTGAACTCCTTTGCACAAACGTCGCACCGGAAACGTTTGTTCGGTTGCTTCACCTTTCTCAGTACGTGAATAGGTGTGTGAGCGTCTAGAGCTTTCTTTGACCAGAACCCTACATCGCATTTTTTACAAGTGTACGGATGTTTACCTGTAAAGAATTTGAAACTGGGGTAAATTTATATTCAACAAAAAATGGCAATGAAATTATAATAGAGCTAAATAGAACAATTATTACCACGTTTAACAACTTTTATTTTCAGTTCTGGAAACTCTGGGATTTCAATGATATCCGGTACAGATTCAATCTTTATCACTGACTCTGCTTTTGCCACCGGTTTCTTTGCATCTCTGACGGTAGGGCTGGTTTGATCGATCTTTAAATTGCCTTTTTGCCTGGCCTTAGCTATTCTAGCACTCCTTTTGCACCCAGGGGACATTTTTCTTTTATTTTTAGAGTGAAATTAGTACGTACCAAGTGGGATAATCCACTATACGAAAGTAAGGTTCATTATTCCATATATAATTTCTATTATTGCACCTGTTTAGAACAATATTTTGTGGACCTTTATTATGCATCAAAACAAAACAACTTGTTGCGTACGTCAGTGCAAGATGGACGACTTACCGATAGGCAACGTTGCCACGTCTCAGCATTTCCCAGAAAATATTAAATGTTGGAAATTAGGTGTCATTCTGCCATTCATTCATAGTTCTAATCCAGTGTTATTTCTAAAGCAGGCGTAATCTAACTAATTATTCCACAATAACATAATATTAAATTAGAAGCAATGGCATGGAATTTTATACATATATTCTGTAGAAAACTCAATATTTTCAAAAACGATGATGTTAGTTTCATGTAAATATTAAAAACGAAAATGTAATTCAATCAATATTGGGAAAGACATTCTAAGAAATAATTAGACTAGAAGTGCAATAAATAAATCGGTGGGGAAAATTGTATGTCAATGTACCCGTAACAATATCAGAGATTTACACATTTACTAAACAACGACTAGAGTTTGTTGCAATGTAAGTATGGACTACTATGTATTAGACATAATTGTACTACCTACTATAATAGACTCGCTTTCTTCGGAACATTGATGTAATTCATTCGCAATTTGTGTAAACGTGACAACAGGGCGTCTTTAGTTTAGTTCACATTACACAGATGGCGCGTGTAACAAATAATGCTACTGCATTTCCTTTTTTATTTATTATGTTTATCTTAATAATGTGAAAAGCGATAAGTCTGCAGGAATTCAGAATATTCTGATCCAGATCGACACTTTTAGAAATATGTATCCAATTTTGTCCCTCTGAAAATGATACGAAAAGGAATCGGTACCTATAGTTCATAGCTAATAGCACTAATAGTTATTGTCTTCGAGCTAATACATTTGATTAGACATTAAATTTAAAATTTACAAATTTACCCGTATCAATTCCGGCATTGCTGAACTGGGGGAAATGATGCGTGAAATGAAACGATCATGCAAATATAAGCCTTATCCTAAAAAGTGGTAAAATGAGCCTGAAATCTACTTTTTGTAAAGGTTGACGAATTTCTCGCCTTTCAAGCCACAGCAAATTTAGAGGAAGTTTCGGCAATTTGTTTTAACGTACACAACAACTGAATAAAAGATAGAAATAGTACCTTTTTAGTAGTAGTCAAAATGATTTAAATATAAACAAAAACTCTAAATCTAAAAGAATAATACTTACCACACAAAAAATGAAGTTAACAAAAGATTTTATATTCATACTTATAAGATGAATTCATAAAAAAAATTAAGCAGAAACATGCAAATTGCAAATTACTACCAATGTGGCGGAAGTAGAAAATTTTGAAATTAATAAAAAACGACAATTTAATTCAATGTTTCTAAAGGTGTACACAATACCAGATACTCCTAAATTCAACTAACAATATAAACATATATAAGTATCAGACAAACTATTGTTGTGTTACTTGTAGTATTGAGGGGCTAATTTAACCCTAACTTGATTAGATTACACAAGAAAAATTATTAAAAATAAGTTAAGTTAACTTAAGGTATCGCTCGAGACTTAACAAATCTAATCAAGTTAGTGTTAAATTAGCTCATTACAAATATCACTGCCAAATTACAACAAAATTGAGTAAGGGTGTTTGAGATATTTGCGAAATAGCAATTATTTGCAAAGTTTAACACCCTGTATCTTGGAAACGAAGCATCTGCGGCCCAATGTTTATATGAACTTTTTGTCTTAAAATCACTCAAATAATCTGTTGAATTTATTGTACATACTTAATTAATACCCTGTAGAATACCATGCAAAAAATTATTTACGACCTAGTGGACCAATACAGCTTTGATTTGACGACCAGTGCGCCGCCGTCGATTCTACATCAGGCCGACTGGTCTACCAATACCGGACTCGCCCAATGGCTAGTCGAGTATAAATTACGACACATCATGGCTAAAGCATAGGAAAAAATTTCAAGAGAACTGCAGACGGTTCTGTTCTTTAAGATCCATTCCAATTGATATTGTAACAACTCACTTAATATTTTTTTTATGGTAGGGGTATTTAGCTAAAATAAACAAGAAAAACCGATAGTAACATTTTTTAATAAGACCTTTACAATCTTTACTAAAGCAAAATGAGTTTGCCTAGTATCTCAACCTGATCCAACCAATAAAGTACAACCTTACATTAGTATAGACTGAAAATAAAAGAAATTAAATTTTTCTATAATTTACGGGGTATGTCAGTGACGGTACTTATAAATTTAAAAAATACGTGAATATTTCGGTAATTAATCATTATTGACCGGAACTTCATTTACTTTGATGTTCCGGATTTTAACCACGAATTCAGGAATTCTTAGACCTTGTTTCCGAAATTCCACCGTTCTTGAGACTACAGATTTTCAAGAAAAAGTGATATCTTTGAATATCTTTCGAACAAATGAAGATACTGACACGAAATTTTTGTGCATGGGCAATCACCTCATAATACCGCAGGCAGACGTAGTTTACGTGCCCTGAAGCACTCCAACAGATCAAAGCCGGCCTAGTTTATTTCTGAAGCGGCACAACTATTTTAAATACAACGGAAAACAATCCTTGTCGCGGCACACGCCGGGAGATTGGTTTATTTTCGGCCGGCGTTCTAAGATCACGGTCAAAACGGGAGCTATTTTTGAGCCGGGTGACAATGAATGAGCGTGTTGGGCGGTAGCTACGATTTAGATAAACGTGATGTGCGACTTTAACGAGTTAGAGACAAAGTTCGTAGACACGCCCATACGTTTAACTGAAATTAGATAATTTTTAAGGAAATGCATACTAGATTCGTACAGGGCCTCTCGAATTGCACGCGTCAGACTTTAACTGAGGACAGTACATCACAAAATAAGAGAAAAATGTATATTTATGTAAAGGAGGAAAATGTAGTGATCTCATTTTCAATTTTTTTAAGTTATCTACGTCACTTATATTATCGCTTACAAATGACGAAGGAAGTTATTTTTCGAAATATTGGAAATCAAATAAAATAGTGGAAACCTGAAAGCTACCCCCTAAAACTGCCCTACAACTCCTTTTTTCATTCACTAACTACTTTTAATGGTTAAATAAATAGTTGAATGGTTCCCAAAATCTAATAAAATCTACCTAGTTCGTATAGGCTGAACCAAATTTGATTCTACAAAAATTTCGGAAAATAGGTATTATAAATACACTTAAGTGCGCAAAATGGCGCAAAATTTAATGCAACTCAACATTTCCCTGAGGAAGTAATAGAAAACCTCCCTATTCGTAGTTTATTTAAAAAAAGTGAAAATTTAAAATCGTTAAGAGGCTTCTTTGTTTGTAGTTCGATTGAAAAGTTTTTTTATCGACGGTTTTCTAGAAAATCACAGCAAATTTTATTTTTCTTACAAAAAATACGTAAATGTGTTTGTGAATCGCTTCCAATCACCACACTTGTAATTTTCAATATTTAAAAAATATTTAAAAAATAAATAATTTTAATTTAAGTTTTTTTTGTGATTTCTAAATAATTAAGGACAAAATAAATTAGAAAACCCCCTTTTATTAGCTTGTTTTATTTAAGACGTAAGGAAATAGCAAGTCATCAACAGGACAAGCTGGGAATAAATGTCTGTCCCGAGCGCATTCACCAAAATATTAAATAACCGTAGGCAAAATGTAGATCCCCCTGATTTTATTCTAAAGATAACATTTTTGTAAGTGAAAACTATCGAAATCGGAACAAAATTATTGTTTTTCTACACTGGACAAAATACTAAAAACGTTTCTGCAAAGAATATATTTATGATGAACACTAGGAAAAAAATACTACCTCTATTAAGGTTGGCGTTTTGTAGACAAGAAATTGCATTCTCTGTCTTGATAAAATATTAAGATTAAAAAAATTATGTGTAGGTACCTTTTAGTAGAATAGAAAGTAAAATTTATATTCCACAAAACTGTAAACCTTAAAATTATGCATGTTAAGTTTTTTTTTTAATGTTTGACATACATTGTAGTTAGTCGTATCTTCCGCATAAATTGTAGCAAGTTATACATTTTTTCGCGTATACAGCAGAATTTATAGAAGCAACTGTTTTCCGACAACATAAATTCAAATTCTCAAGCTGGTTTAAATACTAGCGACTAGGATAGACGAGAAAAAAAAGTGCCATCGAATTACTAAAGATTTCTAATCAAAAACATATTTGTCTGTAGGTATACTTGGAATTTACGAAAATTATTGAATTGAAAGAAACACACACATTTTTTACTGCATTACTTGTCATTTCTCTACTTTTTTTTATAATTCTCTTTTGCAAAATAACAATATTACCAGCATTGTAAAGGACAAAATTCCATGTACAGTCAGTAACATCTCTTAACCTGACTCGAACTTCCTTATTTCAAATATTATTAAAATGTCGATTAACGTAAATACCATCAAATAGCGTCATAAAATTTATATTCCCGTATAATATGTTATGAATTCACATTAAATCTATTTTTATCTATAAGAAAAAGCTTAAAGATACTGTGTATATTATGCAGAGACATACCATACGTATTAATTCCTGTATTTTACTGAACTTGTTCATTGTTAAATCTTCGTTTGAAGCTTTTACTTTCATGCAATCAAATACATAGAATAACACAATCTATTGAGTAATTTGTCAAAAGCTAAGAACAGGAACAGCAGTTGAATAAACTTAAAAAAATTATATATGGACATCATTTAAAACAGTCTTCAAAGATAAGAAAATACTAATTTTACTTATGAAAAGACCCTAAATTGTTAACAAATAAAATCATTTCTTATAAGCTCTCTTGGCATCACTAATGAGGCGCCACGAAGATAACAAAGAAAGTACTTATTGTAAGTCAGCATAACGCTAGTGAAAGCACAACATTACAAAAGAACACGATAGTGAGATAAAAGCAATGGTACTTGAGATTGTTGTGTTGGGAAGACAAAGTGGAACAGAATGAGAAACGAGAGTAAACGAAGCAAGATATATAACCAAAATGAGAAAAGATAGACCAAGAAAATAAACAGCAAACGCGAGAAGAAAAGCAATACAATACCAAAAAATTATTCAAAGGTTTCTTCACAAGTCAAGAGAAAATCGAACCTTACGAGGATAAAATAAACTTTTTTTTCCTGAATTCATTGTCTTCAGTTATCTGTACAAGACTACTCGTCCTGCTTCATCTTTACCAAGAACTTTTCAGCCACGAAATTTGAATGATTCTAAATTTTTCGAATTTTCACCCCCAAGAACGGCGGTGACAACATTTTTAAAATTATGACGATGTTTCGCATGGTACTAGCTATGTCCTGTACACATTTAGTTTCGCGCAACTCACTCGGTTTCAAAAATACAATACCTATGTACGTTTTCGCGCAACTCACTCGGTTTCAAAAATACAATACCTATGTACGTTTTCAGCCACCAAATTTGAATAATTCTAAACTTTTCGAATTTTCACTCCCAAGAACGGCGGTGACAGCATTTTTAAAATTATGGCGATGTTTCGCATGGTACTAGCTATGTCCTGTACACATTTAGTTTCGCGCAACTCACTCGGTTTTAAAAATACAATACCTATGTACGTTTTCAGCCACCAAATTTGAATAATTCTAAATTTTTCGAATTTTCACCCCCAAGAACGGCGGTGACAGCATTTTTAAAATTATGGCGATGTTTCGCATGGTACTAGCTATTTGTTGAAATAAGTAAGGCGAACGATATTACATAAACGCGAATAGATCTGGATGTAAACTGCAAATTGCAACGTTGCAACTTTATCAAGTGAAAAGATAAAGGCCACGATGTAAACTTATCCGTTTCAACGGTTTTGAAGCGTATAGATCGGGGTACAATTTGATTGCAACAAAGGAAACGGAAATAATAAATTTGACCCATCGACAATTTTTTTGCTGAATATATTTTTCAAATCCTCATGCCTATTGTTATTTTTTGGAAATTTGGTGTGGCTATTACTATGCTACCAAATAAAACTCAAGCTGTTCACTTGATCCTAATATGCAATAATTTTTTATACTTATCCTGGTAAAACCTAGTAAATATACCAAAAGTATGTTTTTTCTAAGGCAAAGGCATAAAACTATTTATATAGGAGAGACAGTTTCATAGAAAACCAGAAAAAATAAATTTTGTGTAATGATATTGGACGAAGTGTTCTATTACGAAAAAATTGAGATGTGATTTTCTCGTAGAAAAGATATCAAATAAAATATACCAATTTTGGGTAGGATAGAACATGACGCAAAATATCTATGTGAAATAGTCATATTCAAACAATAATAAATTGTTTAGTGTGCTTGGATAAAAATAAACATAAACAAAACCACACAATTGAAAATCGTTATTAGCACATTTTAAGGAATTTAGCACAGCACATGCGTAATCGATAAATGAAGGAACTTAAACAGCAAAATTTATATATTAAGTAGGTAACTATATAAAGTTAATTAACGAATAAATGCAATTACAATGCACTACAAAAAATACATGGTGGACATGTACAGGGTTGCCCACGAAACTTCACCAAATTACTTTAAGCAAAAAGTTTCATATAAATTTGTAGAACGGTTCGTTTTTGAGAAACAGGGGGTTGAAATTAGAAACAAACATCACTATTTCTAAAATGTTTAAGATGTTTAACGTACATTGAGAAAACTTGGTTGGTTGATTTATCTAATTAGAAGAAAACATTTGCTAAGTTGGCTTACAAATATGTCAAGTGCCAGAGAATTTCGATGCCGATAAATAAACAAACAAAAATATTAACAGTCACTAAAATTTTATACATCTGTTGCTTAGTTAGACATCTATACATTTTGAGGTAATTTGCTAGAAAAATAAAGTTTTTTATTTTACAAACTGAATGCTGATAATTGAAACGCTAATGTATTACAAAAAATATCTTTTATCCCACATCGATCGATTTTCTAAACAGATTCGAGTTCAATAATATCCGGTAAGGAGGTACATTAACTCTGCAAACTCGTGCAACATTCCAGATAAATATCGTGGATAAAAATAAACATGTTTCTCATACTGGCGCATCCGGCATTTTTATCAATTCAGTTGAATTCGAGTTTTAAATCTACTGCAAATGCGTGCAATGATTAAAATATTGTCGAGATTGTAATTTATAGAAAAAAAGTTTTCGTATTGCTCTGGATGTTATTTTAATCAGAATATACCCAAGTATTAAACACCTGGTAATAGTCCATAAAAATACAGAGTGTCCCACATAAGAACCGACACAGGGCAAGTGCATGTAGGGGTGTCCAAAATATTGTAATTTAACCAAACTAATAACTCCTCAGGGGTGCAACTTTGTATATAGGTAAGTTTGGTTAAATTACAATATTTTGGATCTGCCCTGTGTCGGGTCTTATGCGAGACACCCTGTATATACATATTTGTTGCAGATATACTAAAATTTAGAAATTATTTTCTAAAAAAAATTAATAATAGCACAACTAATGAGTGATACACTTAGAAAAACAAAATATTCAAAAAAATAAACTGATAGTTTTTGGAACCAACGTTAGATTAACTTTTATTTACCTTTTTATTAATTTGACTAAGTAAATCAGTTTGATCAAAAATAATTTGGTGGTTAATTATGTCATAAAAATTTTTAACGAACTAAATTAGTAAAAAGTTGGTAGGGCTTACACAAAAAACGTTCCTTCGGCGTTTTTTATGCAAAAAAAAAATATTTAAAAATTTTGGTTTCAAGGGGTAAGTAACACCACTGTAAAATGCTAAAAAAAAGAATTTTTACGATTTTTTTTTAATGGAAATGGAATGGAAAGATACAAAAAAATTCTTTTAATCTACATGAGTAGAGTTAGAGAAATACTTTTGAAAACAATGATTTTGGCGAGCATTTGAAGTAAAAAGTTCAATTTTTTTCTTTATTTTTTTGGGTAATTTGCCACCTCTGAAAAAAATTAAAACTTGAAAATAAACCCTTACGCCAAATGGATCAATCAAGGGTTATTTTTATGAAAATAGTTTTGCCTAACCAAAAAATATCACACTGAAAAAAACAGGCAAATAGAAAATGCAATGCAAATGCAAATACCAAGTGAAATGCCCATCAAAATTATCATGAATTTTGTATTAAAAAACCTTTTTCTAGATTTCAAATTAAACATCCTGTTTCTCGGAAATTAAACACCTCTCCATATGTTTATGGGAACTTTTTTCTTGTTCTATAACCAGGAGAAAGTTTGATTTGTACAATTCGGAACACTCAGTATAGTCATCAAATCGGTCAAATCGAAAAATATTGAACCTTTTCGAAAATAAATAACAAATGGTTACACATTTGTATTAACAATAAATAGTAGTATCGTTTTCAACAAATTATTTAGTATAAATATAGTCGTAATTTAAAGCCTGATTGACGACAATAAAAAAATAGGACTTACCTTTGTGAACTCTGAGATGTGCCGTCAGATCCTCGACGTTGGAGAATGACCGCTCGCACTGCTTACAGTTGTACGGATTCTGCTTCTTGGCGTGCTCCTCCTTATGTTTGCTCAGCTTGTAATAAGTGGGCAGGATCAGCAGACATATTTTACACTTGTGAATGGGCTTGTACGTCATCATCTTCTTGGCCGAATATTTGAATTTGTACTCCGCGTACTCCTCGGGGATCCACTCCATCCGACTGTCACAGTCGCTGTCGTCTTCATAATATTCTTCTACATCGTTGTTCGAGGGAGGCTTCTTATCGAGTTTCGGTGGCGGCATGTTAGTTTTTACGTTACTGTTTTCTTCTCGTGGCTTCGCTGTCGGTTCTTTGGGAGAAGGTTCAAAAATCGAATCCGCTGAAGACTTCTCTTTTTTCATCATTACGTTGAACATGTCCGTAATCGTGGTTTGTTTCAACGGTGAGGTGCTTGTTCTCACTGTGTTACCAGACGTATCTTGACTCTGTTTTGTTTGAGGTGTATTAGTTTTGTTGGGTGACGTTTTCGGTTTACTTCTCCTTTTAACGTTTACGTTTTGCGGACAAGGTTCCTGTACAAGTTGGTTTTTGACAACTTTCTTCTTGGAAGTTGATTTGGTTTTGTTCTTATCAGGGTTTGCGGGTGTATCTAAATCCTTTGTCTGTGTCGGATTTTCATCGAACACAGCAAGTAATTGTACTTTGGCTTGTGCTTTGGCTATTGGTTCATCTGCGATTCTTTGCTTTTTTGATTTTGGCGTAACATTTACTTCTGAAGGGGTTGCTCCTTGCTGTACTGTGGGTTTCTCTTTCTTTGATTTGGGAGTAACATTTTCTTCTGGAGGGTTTGACCTCGTAGAGTCTTTACTGGTGAATGAAATGGATTTTTCTTTTTTTGGAGTGTTGTTTGACCTTAATGGGACTACTTCTGGTTCTGATTCATCAAAATCAAAAACCGTAATGTCAGCTTTTTTAGAAATATCACATATTTCATTTTCTTCTTGAACATCTTGAAACTGCACTGGTTGACTGTCTAAAATTTCCTTTGAAGTTATTTGTTCTTGTTCAGGCTTCGTTATCCGTTTCCTCTTGTTTTTTTTTCTTGTACTCGGAGATTTCCTCTTAGGACTCTCTGTGGTAACTACATCAACTTCTGTGGAAGACTGTACAGTATCTATGTTTAATATTTTATTACTCTTGTTCTTTCTTGTAGGACTATTACTTGAATATTCTTGTTGCAATAACATTGGTACTTCTGTAGGCACAATTTCGTTTTGACAAATTGTTTGTGTTTCCAAAATCTCACAAATATTTTCTTCACGATTTGCATCTATCTTTGCACTTTTCTTAGAATCGATCATCTCTACATGTTTTTCAGGTTTTGAAATGTTCTTATTGCTACTCCTAGTTTGGGAAAGTCTCGTTTTTAATTTCTTTTCATTTTTCTCATTACTTTGTAATTCAAAAGAGGAATTTGAATTGTCTAGTAATTGGTTATTATTAGGAACATTATCCAATTTAGATTTTGTCTTTTTTTTGGTTATCTTCTTTTCATTTGATTGAATATCACTTACTACATTTTTCAAATGGGCCAGTTCTGATCTCAACAACATGGGTGTTTTGGGTACTAATTTTCTGTTATGAAATATTTTTTTCTTTTTTGATACCACTACTTTTTTGGATCGTGCAAGAATTTTTGATTGTTTAGAAAGGCGTTTTGGACTCTTTTTAGAAATGGACGAATCAGATTGTTTTTGCATTTCTGTATCTTGTATATCACTTGCCATTTCTGGTTTTTTACCAAGAAGTTTAGGGCTATTTTCAGGAACAGGTAATTCAGATTGTTTTTGCATTTCTGCATCTTCCGGAGCAAAAGGTTGGTTTTCAATTAACTCATTTTGAATAACCACTACTTTACTTGGCTCGTTTTGTGAAGAAGTATTACTTTCATTAGATTGTGGACTATTTTGTGGAGATCTTCTTTTCCTTGTGGTTTTTGGACTGAGGCATTGTTCTTTGGTTACATTTTGGGAGTTTCTCTGTGTACATAGTTCTGAACGTAACAATCTTGGGGCAGAAATCATGTTATCAATATTTGCATTACTGACATTAATATTTTCAGACAATCCCCTTCGAGCAGTTTCAGACCTTAGCAATCTATGAGATGACGTTTCTTTCTTTACTTTTACAACTATCACTTCCATCAACGGTTGTTCAAAATTTCTTGGTGAATTTTCGTGTAAATTATCTACATTAAATTGTTGATCCACAGATGAGTTTGGTAAAGAATTATTTTCCACTTTCACAATTCTAGAGTTCTTGGTTTTGGGTTTGGGTGATGTTACTTCTGTATTATATTTCTGAACTCTATCCAATCGCGAAGACCTAAGAGTTTTTCCCTTTATTTCACTTTTTTGTTCTTCCGGAACAAGAACGTTTTCTGACCCACATGATAGTTCATTGGACCTTGGTTTCAATGATAAGAATGCAGATTTTTCCTTCTGTTTCGGTTCATCATGAATCAAAACGACTTCTTCTAATTCTGTCTTTATTGGAATGCTTTTTTTAGCATTTAATTGAGACAAATCAGACCGTAATAGTCTGCCACTATATTTCTCTTGTTTCTTTACTGTTCTATCGTTCACAATTATTATTTCATCCAAATCGACTTGTTTAGTCTTTTGTATTGATTTTCTCTTATTTTTTTGTTGTGATTTATCAGCTTCTGATAGCTTTTGGAGCATCTCATCGCTTTTCGTTGAAAATTCTTCATCTTTTATTACAATAATATTATCCATTAAAGAATTCCGACTCGTATCTTTTTTAATAAAATTCGACCTAAGTGTTCTTGGAGAAATATATTTATTTGATTCAGGTTCTTCTGTTAAATTAATGAACTCGTTTACTTCCGATTCTACTTTTTCCGTATTTGGTGAATGAATATTTGTTGCTTCTAACAATGTTTTTTGTTTTAACAAGTCAGATCTTAACAATCTTGGAGAAATCTTTTCTTTGGGATTATTTTCTTCTTTTACAATAACATCATCTTCGTCTTTATGGGCAGTTACTTCTGACACAGATTTTTTATTAAAAATTTTTATTCTCTGTTTTTTAATTTCCTTGGGTTTAGTCTTCAATTCACATTCTTCATCATTAAGAATGATAATATCATCTTTTACACTTTCATGTTCTTGTAGTTTTGAGCACGAACTTTTGGGACTTTCTTTTTGCCCAAGTTCCTGCGGATGGGAAGATACTTGTACTCTTTCAACTTCAATGTTATTTGCATTATGTTCATGTACATTCAATTTTTTTAACATCGCTCTACCATTGGAACTTTTATTTTTCGATGAGTCATCAATGCAAATTATTTCATCTGATTGCTTTTCACATTCACAGCTGACGGACATGGTTAAAGGTACTTTACTAAGACTGAGGTATCCTTGATCCGATCTTGATGTTTCTTTTTCTAACTGTAGAGTTTTCGCATTTTTGTTAAGTTTTATTGATTCAACTTTGCTAGTATTCTTCACTGGTCCCATAACAGGTTTTGAATTTGAAGAATCCTTTATTTTGCTTCTGGATTTTCTAACCCTGGGCTTTTCATTCACATAATTTGGTTTTTTTGGGGCCAACTCTGATCTAAGTAACATAGGAGCGTTCAACAACAATGGTGGAAGGAGTGTAGGTGATCTCATTGTATTTTTTCTTCTTTTCGGTTTCTCGTTCACAACCACAGCTTCTTCAATTAATTCTTTTTTAATAGCAGCAGGCAGTTTGTCATTTGCAGCAACTATTTTTGACAGTTTTGGGGACGTCTTTTGCTTTTTGTTTTCATTTTGCCGACTATCTACGGCACTGTTCAGTTCTTGTGTTTTAGATATATCTACAGAGTCTTTTTGTAGAATTTCCGGCTCTGCGTTTGAAACGTTCTTATCATCTGTTATAATTACCACCTCATCCACAAATGCTTGTTCAATGTTTCCGGTAGTTTCTTTAGCCTTTTCTTCTATTTTTTTAAGCCTCGGAGAAACTCGCACTTCTCTCACTTCGTCAATAACAATGACGTCACTCTTATTTGTGATGTGGTGGTTCTCTTTACTTTTTTGAAGGGGCGTAATATTATTATTTTCTAATTTATCTATTTGTTTTGGTTCATCAGCAATAACAATAACTTCTTTGCACTGGGTAGTGCCGACAAGCTGTTCTGCATTTATGTTTAATAAAGTTGAAGTACTATTGCGTATTTGAATCCGCTTGTCAATAATTTCTTGATTAATTACTTCTTCGTTTTTTGGTCTCGGATCATCATTTATGATAATTATATCTTCCACTATACCGTTATCACTAGAATCACCGTTACTTGAATTATTTTCATCAAGTAAAATAACGTCATCTTTATCTTTTTTATCAATGGATTCAGTATCAGACACGGTGATTGGACTAGTTGATATTAAGGGTAATGATAATCGTTCATGAGATTTTTTATATAAAGACTTTTTTAGTTTTTTACAGCTGTTGATATTTGGACTGCTATGCCCATTTGCATTTATTTTGCAAACTTTGTACCTAATGGTTGGAGATTTTGATACTTCTTTTGTCTTATTAGACAGTGCCGCAATTTTTGAGGGCCCTGCTTCGTTCTGACTTTCTTCTCTCCGCTGTTTTAATTTGTCAAACAGATTTTGGACGGGATTGAATTTTGTTGGACTCACAATCGGACTTATTGTTAATGTAGATCTTGCAATTATAGAATCTGGACTTTCTGTATTAGATGTATCTGAAGAAGGCGTTTCTTGATTTCCATTAGACATTGAAGGTTCTACTTCATGAATTTTTTTCTTAGGGTTCAATTTAATCTTAATACTTGATTTCTTAATAGGCACTTTTTTAACATCCGCTTTAACTTTGTCTGGACTTTTCTTACTAATCTTTCCGCTGAGCACCTTGTTAATATTATTTTTCTTGGATGCATTCTTATTTAGTTCTTTATTACTCTTAATATTTTTAATTCTTTTAGATTTATTAATTTCAACGGTCGTACTAACTGAAGGCACATTGTTGGAGAAAATTGAAGGTACTGGTTTTAGTCTCAAAACACCCAAGAATACACATTGGGTTATTTGTTTATTTTCATAGTGTAGGTCATTTTCTTTTAAATTATTTAGAAATTTTCTAAGGGTTTGGCTAGATTTACCTGTTTTCTTTAACAATTCGGGTTTTTTCTTCATGATATTCATTCCTCAAAAACGGTCAAAGCTTCAACGGGTAGCAGTACCAAGCTCGGGAAATCACAACTTTCAGATTATTTTTCCAACCAGATTTACACGACCCAAACATTAATGTGTTCTTAAAGTGGCCACAGGTTTATAAACGTTTTAAAGTAATATCACTAAAAAGTTTAAAAATTACACGTGTATATTTATAATGATTAAACACAAAACACTTGTTGCGCTTCCACCATAACTTGATGACATAAAGGAAATATGCAGTTATTCTAGAGGGCGCTGACGCCGAAGGATCAGACCACGTTTTAGCGATGCCCAGCAGATACCACGGCATATAATCGTGCAGTTAACCGAAGGGACATATTCTATACCATTGTTTTAAATCTAAGTTAATTATTTACTATTTAAACATATTTATGACTGCAAAATATGTATCAATATTTTATTGTATATATTATGAAGAAATTGAACAATGTGTCAATTTTAACCAAATAGTTGATTTTGAAATTTTAGCGTATTTAGTGAGGAAAATCATTGTATTTTAACTCTTGTGTAGTCAGGTAAATAATATGTTAGTATAATTAGGAAATTGATTTGTGTGAAATAGTGAAACTGGCTTTGAAGATGTTTGTGTTAATGCTGTCGTCATCTTCGGTAACATTTATCCTTGTCGTAGAAATTCGTGAAAAATCGCACGTGACTGAGAGGGTGGAGTTGGGAGTCGAGAAAATGGTGGAGGAACCTATTTCACAAAATATTTAAATATGAATAATTTTCACCGATGTAAGTGACGCCTAACAAATTTGGTTTAATATAGTAAAATTTCAAAATAAATTAATTGGATCGGGATATAAAATAATTATTTTTGTGCCGTTTCTTTTCAGAAATCTATAGAGAATATGAATTTTGATTTTTTTTTTTTAGTAATTAGAAATCTATGCTTTAGTTCCACTAATCAACTGAATAAATTTATGAAATAGTCAAGTATAGATTTCTTAATATTTCTGATTCTTGCATAAATATTTTTATATGGCTGTGATTGGTAAAAAATTATTTCAAAATGCTTGCAAGTATTTTTATGTTGAAAATTATATAAATAAAACACGTCATAATTGTAAATAAAAATTTATTTATAAAATAAATAAACAGAACGGTTAAATTTATTTATCTTTCTTTGTTTCCTTATCCTCTCCCGGGACTGTCTCTCCGGTAATATCATCGGTACGAGTCTTATCCACTGGATATAACCTAAAACAAACAAATAAACTCCCGAAAATCACAAAACACATTCGACACCACTCACCATCTTTGGTATAAATAAACGAGGAACACCACATCATCCCTAAAGCAAGCCACCCTGTGTGCCGTCGGCATTGTAATAATAAAAGCGAAAATGTCGTCTATGAAAGTATTAAACGCCCTGTACGTAAAGGCTCTCCAAGGAAGGGCCGCCACAGATTTCAGTCGATAATTTATGAAGAGCTGTGGCAGCATGAAGAGGAAGCCGAATGCGTATACGCCGTTGACCAAACTGTTGATTGTCCACGAATACCAGCTGGAATACAGATTAAAGTATCCTTTTATAATTTTCTCATTCGCTGGAGGAACATTTAAAGTTATGGCGAAGTATGTGGGATGATTCTAATAATTGGTGGAGGAGCCAGGAATATTCTTTGTTAAGTTCAGCTTCTTGACAAATATTATTAAATAGAATTAATTTCCTCAACTACAGTGTCGTATTTATTGGCCTTCCGGCAAAATACAAAGAAACTGTCTTCAAACAAATTAATTAAATTAACACTTTAGAATATGGTGAAGGTGCCAATGTCACGAAATGAAAGTTTAAATAACTATCAGTTCTCAAAACTTTAAGTACAATGCGATTCAATCATGAATATTCTGATACGTTTCCAAGGAGCACAGGCTGTCCAGAAGTAAATGAGCGCTATTTCAAGCGTTACTTCCTTCGACGAAAATAAACTGATTTAGAAGTTATTTTAGTGTAATTTTGTTTAAGTTTTTTAAAGCATTTTTCTCTCTCCTCTTTGAAGATATTTCAAGGAAATGTTATATATATTGCTAGCGGATTGGAATAGCAGAAGGATGTGATTATTTTTATGAAACATTAACGTTAAAAAAGTATACACATTGCACATTACTCAAATGCATCATTTTGGAAAAAGACCGATTTATATTTTCTACTACAAGTTGTCAGTTGAAGAGAGTTAAGTGTTTGGGGGTATTCTAATATAATTAAACTTTACCTTTTTACCAAAGCAAAAAATAGAATAAAACGTCATTATTAAACTCAATAATTGACACCTGAAGTAAGAAATAATTCCACGATCATGTTCGGTTACCAATAAACTTATACCAAATATTATTGAACATAATTTCAATGAAATACCTTGAAGACATGAAACTTTTAAAATAAAATTGTAATAAGGTAAATCGACTTAAGTCGGTTTATTTTTACCAAAACAAGCACTCCTAAAACATGGCCCATTAATTTTCAAACCCTCTGTATATACTAATCTCCTCAAAGAGAGACTAAATGAATGAAATAACAATCAAATTGATTAGGAAAATAAATTATCGATGAAACCAGCTAAAAATTGATTACCTTTTGTGGGGCTGATACAGCAGGGAGTAAATGGCAGCACCGATACATAACGGATACAGGATATAGCTCAAATATCTCATACATTCTTCATCGTATTCCCTGGTTCGTTTCTCATCGTTTGTCTCCGTTTTGTCACCATTGAATTTAACTCCTTTCCATGAAAGGCTCGTCTTGAAAACCTTACTAACTTTCCAAAACTAAAAAGAGTGTAAAGTTATAAATGGTTACACAATCAAGTTATTGTTTCTTTTTTTTAACATGTGTACGTACTTCTATTAAAGTGGCTATCCCAGAAGGTATAAGAACTAACAAAGATGTACCTTCGTCTAATAAATACAAAAATACAATGGTTTGAGAGAATGCCCTCCATAATACAGTTCGTGTGGAAAGACCTGCCATCGAAGTCTGAGATTTCCAAAAGCTAATGTCGTTTTTGAATGAGAGAAAGTCCAAAAGTAACTAAAACGTAAAGTAGCTGAGATTTAAAAACGTTCAAAACAATAAAATATAACTTACATGTATACTTCCGATGCAGAGTGTTGCACACAATAAATACAAGTTTGTGTCTGCGAAAACCCCCTTGACCTCATCCAAATCCTTCTCAGTAAATCCCAACTTTAGAAATTGGATGAGAGTTGCTTCTATTTGCAGTAAAAATCTCATCTTCCCAAACGAGGCAGGAGTATAAATAAATGTAAAATTCATATTTCTAGCGTCTGAAGTAACTTCTACTAAATCTCTCAACCTCATATTTAAAATGTCCTGCTGCACTATGGGCATGAATTGTCTTTTACTGTTAATCCTTAAATGCTTTATAATCTCAATGGGAATGTCGGAATGTGGAATGTTTAAAGTTTCAATACACATTATAATTGCATATCTGGATCGTAAATGAGTGACAGGCTTTACCATCTGCTTTGTACCAGTCTCTTTCAATAAATTAAAAGTTGCACTAATAGGTACTGCATATTTTGTCAGTTTGTTTTTTACATAAGTTGAATCTGGTGCTCTTACAAGTTCGTTTAAAGATATCTCCTTTAGTTTTGTGTTAAATGGCACCATGATGCTGTGTATAAATAAAGTACCATTGTTACGAGCCGTTTTTGAAATTTCAATTGGCACTTCCCTATTAAACAGATAATTAATTATTTATTAAACTATATAATTAAACTTACTTTTCCAGTGGAGTTACATAGTCGAAATTTTTAATAAATAACACTTGGTCAAAATTACCAGACTTTGAATTATCCGAAACGAAAACGTACAAATCCAATTTCGGTTTAGAATTCAAATAAGATTTGTAACATACATCCCCTTTGTTACATGTCGGTGCCTGAAATATTCCGTATAAACTGTATATTGATCGTAGAATAAATAGAAAAAATAAGCCGATTAAAATGTAACTTATAGTTGGTCTCATATTTTCGAAGGTACGTACACGTCAGAGGACAAGCCGCATTTTAAGAGAAACAAAAAAATTATAAACAAACTCTGGAACTACTACTCATGAAAACATTACACCTATCATGCATCAGGTCGATGAGGCACAATGCAGTAGGCTCATTAATCTTACAGGCACATGAGCATTTTCGGCAACACAGAACATTTAGCAAAAGAATGACTATTTTCACACGACAGTGATTCTAAATTAGTAAAGTCTGTGGTTTCACTTAGTCAATATTATTATTATTTGAAGTTTAAATTAAAACAAATATTTCTTTGTAGATGTGCAAGTACAATAATTTATTCATGTTGCGCATTTTTTAATAGTAATGTATTCGTTATCTTATTACGTGCTGCCGTCAATTATAATATTAATTATTATAAGAAAATATCGAGAAACGAAATGGGGCAAATGTAAAAACAAAGTTAGATTGGATGGAAAAATAGCTATAGTTACAGGAGCTAATTCTGGACTAGGTTTGGAAATAGCAAAAGAACTAGCAGCTAGAAATGCACAAGTCATTCTTGCTTGCAGAAATCTTGAAAAAGCAAATACAGCATGTGAATACATAAGGGGGACATCAAAAAATTCTAAAGTGATGCTAGTAAGTAGAGTGCTTCTATGTTATTTCATCAGAAAATGTTTTGTATGGTTTTAGATTCCTATGGAATTAGATTTAGCTTCCCTCTATTCTATAAAAAATTTTGCAGATAAGATAAAAGAGCACTATCAAGAAATTAATATCTTGATTAATAACGCTGGGGTAGCTTTTCCCAATACAAAAAGAGTAGAAACGAAGGATGGGTTCGAGGTACATTTTGGAGTAAATCATTTGGGTACTTTTTATTTAACAAATTTATTGTTGGAACCTTTATCGGCATCCTCAGGAAATAACGCTAGAGTTGTGGTAGTTGCTTCCTCCTTACATGAAAAAGGAGTAGTAAATGTCAATGATTTAAATAGTTTACGGGTAACAAAGAAAACTAATCTTTATGCAAACTCAAAGTTAATGAACATATATTTTGCTCAAGAACTTTCCAGGAGAATAAAATCAAAGAAAATAAATGTTTACGCCTGTTGCCCTGGATGGGTTTATACGGCGCTGTTTAGGCATTCGATTAAATGGTACCATTACTTTTTAATAGCACCTGTAGCCTTTTTCTTTATGAGAAGTCCAAAGCAGGTAAATTTTATTCATTCTGTTTCTTCCATATACTTTAACGGCACATTGGATTTTATTTTGTACTGTAGTATGAGTACATTTAAAAGATTTTATTGACTTTTAGGGAGTTCAAACTCCAGTGTACTGTGCTACGGAACCTGAACTTGAAACCGAAACAGGACTGTTATATAGAGACTGCAAGCGTTACAACAGTAAAGTCATATTTTACGACAATATTGCTACGAAACTTTGGGAAGAATCAGAGTCGATGATAAATAAGATTATTAAAAAGGAGCTGTAAGCTGTAAAAGTTAATATAGTAAAACTGTAATTGCATTGTAATCATTTAGTATGTTGAAATAGTGAAATAAAACATACATTTTTTAATTGTATAGGTTACTTCAGCTGCAGAACACATAAAATTTTATGTATTTAATCATATTAAATATCAACAAAATCTTTAAAGAATCCAAATGTACTCGCGCTAAAATAAATCTAGGAGCTTATATTATTATTTATTGCGACGCGAGCTACGCTCCTTAATATATGCAACCTCATATACACAATGTGTGGACAGCGAACAATTATATGCGTCCTTTGTTTTTATTGGCTGATCAGGCACGTGACCCAGTACACGGAGATAGGGGCTTTTGCGGCTGCAATAGTGACAGCCACTGCGCTGCAGTCTGCAGTAAATGCAGTAATATTTCGTACGTGGTATGTGGTGGTTTATTTCTGCGAGCGGCACGTGTGAATATTTTCGTTTAGGCGTCTACGGATATTATAGTTATTAAAATGAATAGCGTTTCGTTTAAAAAAAAACTTTATTTGGTTCTCTGCCTTATGAGGATAAACTAAAAATAAAAGAAGTAAAAGTTATAAAAAAACAATAATGTATACACAAAAGCAGAGTGGGTGTGCGGGTGTGATTTAAAATATTCACTGTTTTGTTTTCCGTGCTTACTTTTCGGTGGGGATAAAGCATGGACAATATACAGTGTGAAAGATTTAAGTCATTAAGTCTTTAGGTAAAATAAACATAAGAAGTCAGTTAGATTCTGCATATTGGGATAATATACGGAAACATATGAACAGGTAATGAAAAATCGTCATGTATTATTTAAAATCATAGATTGCATAAAATTTTGCGGAGCTTTCGAATTAGCACTTCTCGGACACGACGAGACAGAAAATTCGGACAACCCTGATGTGTTTCGTGGACTCATAAATTTTAGTGTAGATCTTGACGACATTTTAAAAGAACATCTAGCCACATTGGTATGACCGGGATTTTCTGTGATTGTACCGGGAATTAGCTGTATGGTCCCGGATTTCGGATTTGCACGTATAACTCCCGGAATATAATATAATGTACATATATATAAAAAAAGATAAAGAAAAAATCATAACACGGCGAGGAAAATTAAAATTCGTTGAATCGTTGGTAAATTTCACAAACGATTTTTTTGTTTATAAACAATATTCAATAATTTAATAAAATATATTTAGTTTATTCCAATTTATTTATACCGTCAGTAGGTAATTCGTGAATAGATATTTCAAAAAGGTATCAATTTCAAAAATCGTTGTGAAAATCTGTATTTTTGTATAAATTCATTGTTCCTTGAAATTCAGAAGTGCCAGGAAAACGCGTGACCTTGAAAATTTTAAAATTTTTCGCCTGCGGCGCCATTTACAGGCTCTCCGGGCACTTAATATCCCGGAATTCAATTCAACAAATGTAACAATTCTAAGCAGAACACATTCAATCAATGTACACGCGCCGCCACTGGGTTACTTTCTCTGAAATTATTTCCATTAAATGGTGCCAAGTAAATTGTAATTAATAAAAGTGGTGATGCAATAAGTCAAGTCGCTGCTACTTGTGGTTGTAACTGACCAGTATTAAGTGCTCTTTGAATAAATATTGCAAATTTCGCAGTAACCCGTTTCAAATATTTAAATAATCCCTCGCGAATCACTTATTCAAATAAGAAGAGGGGATCTGACGGCCTTTCGATTTGGCAAAAATAGTATCTAATAGCAAATTAGAGTTACTCTGAACTGATATTAGTTGCTAATAGCTACCATTTTTGCCAAATCGAAAGGCCCTCTGGAGTAAAGTGTTCTTACTTATCTTAGGCTTATGGTTTGTTTTGTTATGTTAGTAGAAAAAGAATTAGTAGTGATGGGCATAATCGACCAATTTTGATAATCGAGTTATCGGTAATCGAGTAGTGATGGGCATAATCGACTAATTTTTATAATCGAGTTATCGGTAATCGAGTACTTCTAATAATCGAGATACGAGATATTGGTCGTTTTCATCCCAGCGGCGCACAAATATGTTTGTATTAGTCATATATTACTTATAAGCGTAGCTAAAAAAAAAAAAAAGCTCACGCACTTCAAAACCTAACCACTTTTTCGTTTTATTCTAAAAAAAGGTTACGCAATAAGTGACTATTTGCAATATGCACTTTATGCACTAACATTTTGGGGTGCAACCGTAGGGTAATAATCACTCGAGTGGTGGCAGTAAACATCTCGAGTGATCTCAATAATCGAGTACCACTCGATTTTTCACTCGAAATCTCCCATCACTAAGAATTAGGTTATGTGCGAAAAATAAGCGTTTTTATTTTTATGCTTTTATGGAAAAATAAAGCTGTACCAATTTGTAATATTTTGTACCGTTTCCACTCCCATTATTCGCTAAATAAACAGGAATCCAGCCAATGGAGGACAATCAGTCAACGAATCTTGCATCTAGTAGATTAAATTGTGATGGGCATAATCGACTAATTTTTATAATCGAGTTATCGGTAATCGAGAACTTCTAATAATCGAGTGATCACTCGAGATACGAGATATTGGTCGTTTTCATCCCAGCGGCGCACAAATATGTTTGTATTAGTCATATATTACTTATAAGCGTAGCTAAAAAAAAAAAAAAGCTCATGCACTTCAAAACCTAACCACTTTTTCGTTTTATTCTAAAAAAAAGGTTACGCAATCAGTGACTATTTGCAGTATGCACTAACATTTTGGGGAGCAACCGTAGGCTAATAATCACTCGAGTGATGGGAGTAAACATCTCGAGATATCTCGAGTGATCTCAATAATCGAGTACCACTCGATTTTTCACTCGAAATCTCCCATCACTAAGATTAAATATCCAGTTTTAAGGTAAAAGGGGTAGACTGTTGAAGCGATTTAATTATGAAATCAATGTATAATTCATAAGTATGAAGTTAAGGAAGCGAAGATTTCGTTGCTTCTATTGGAGAGCACACGCCTTGAAGTTTTCAGAAGCGTTAGAAGTATTTTTGTGTTATCTTTGTAGGGAATATTGTAAACTCAAATAAAAATCTATTTCTCAAACTTCTACAACCGAAAGGAAAAAAAGAACCAGAAAAATTAACATATTTTGTATTATTCTTAATATATTTAAAATATCATTCACACATTTTTATTATAAGCATATCATACTTTATTATTAACATATATATACACACAATAAAACCTATTTAAGTCCTACTCGATTGCATAGGTGCAATAATAATGGAATTACGGTAAGACATTCGAATCGGGTTATTAAAAAAAAAAATCGATTCCAACCTCTTACCCTCTGTACATTTACAACATAACTTCCAACGTAACATCTGAGAAATTAACAAACGCAACGCAAGGGGCGACGTTGAGATAAATTAGTTTGAAGAGGTGCTCGTAAAGAGAAAGTTCTACTCTGTAAAACTTTCTGGCTCGTAAAAGTGATGCCGCACCTACCCTGAGCCCTTGAGTAAGCGAGGTCAGTTTTACAAGAAAAATAGGAACCGCGTCACGAGACCGAGAGCTAGTTTCAAGCTCAGTGACGCGGTTTTCAACTTATAATAAATTACAGGCACGTTGAATAAGTTCTCGCTGTCGAGATGTTGAACGGCTTCTTTCCACGTGAGTAGCCACTTCCGAGCAGCCACTTATGAACAGCCAGTTCAACGGCGGAAATGGAAAGTTTTTTGGTATCACATCGTCAGCGGCGATGAAAAATAGGATAACTTTAAGCGTAGAAAATCGTGGGGTAAGTCCCGGCCATGTGTCAAAGCCAATTTATGGTTCCGAGCGGCTCAATATGAATTAAACCATCACGGAGAATCGCTATCGACCACAATTGATGCGTTTGAGCCACTGAAGGGAAAACAGCCACTATACGAGCAGAGACACGACAAAGTGATTTTGCAGCATGGCAACGCTCGGCCATATTCACCATTTCCGATCGAATACGCCAAAAAATGGGTCAGCTCTTGGATAGCCTCAAAGACGTGTCGTTTTTGCTGCTAGATGGGAAAAAGTTGCGGCTGGCGATGCGACAATACTTTCAATGTTCATGAATATTCTCGAAAAAACAGCGAGAACTTATTCCACATGCCAAAATGTTGCCTGTAAAATAGGGTAGAGGTGCTGAAATGTTTCACTTGGTCGGTAAAATTATGTTACGCTACATATATCTCTGTACACTCAGACAGCTTGGGTTGAACATATGGCTTGAGACACATTTAGTAGGTTATAATAATTATTTTTACATTTTATTGGATAAAGAGGTACCTTTCGATAAGAAAAATATTAAAAACAAATGTGAAACGGTCGTTTAAATTTTTTTTTATATATATACAACTATCATATATAAAACATTAACCTTCTATTGATATTTTAATGTATATTAGACTGTCTTTTTTTTTTTTACTTATAAGCCATATTGTCATTACTATGCGCCAATAATATATACATTTTTAAACGTTTGTCGTGTTGGCAGTTCATAGTAGAAGTCCAGTATTAATACAGTACATAGATTGGCGTTTTTTAATTCGTTAACAATGCATAAATTATATGTAAAGCATTAAATTCATTGGAACACATCAACAAGTTTAAATTTTTCGATTCGGAACACAACCTCGCATCCTGCGCCGAACCCATATAAATAAATAAGTGGTTTTTCAAAATTTTGTATTCACAGTAGCGTTTTTATAATTTAAAAAATCAACAAATGAACAGTCTTTCAATTATTAGACAAATCTAACCTCTAGTCCCGCCGGTATAGTGTTCACAACCTTTCACTTGTTGAGCACTAATAATCACTAGTTATTTTACGATATTACGCTTAAAGTTTTCAGGTAACGCGGAAATCATATTAAAATTCTAATACTATGAAATGCTTACTATTAAAATCACAGATACTTTCAAGATATTTCCGAGTCTGGGCCAAAATTTGATTCAGGTGAATACGGTGAAATCTCCGATATGGGCACCAACGGAACCACAAAAATTTGTCCCCCCCACGGACAGCCGGATAAAAATTTCCAAAAAATGATCCAAAAAATAAAAAGTTCCCTCCCGAGCCGTTTTCGACAACACTGAACAAATTTCGCACATCAAATAAACTTAAAAAAAGAAAATCAAAAGCAACTAGAGACCGTGTGATTAGTTATTTGCCCCTATTCCCTTTTTTAAGTGTCATAAAAATATTACAAATTAAAGTCCACCCAAAGGACCGTTACGACGCTGCCGTTCTTATGAAATGCTACCGAAACCGAGAAAACCTGTCCGTTCGTAGAAGGGGTCCATCAAGGGAGATTTCACTAAAAACAGAGTGCAACTTTGATTTGGCGTCAGTTTTTTAAGGGTAATAAATAACTAAAGTGATAATTTTTTTAATACGAATAGTGGAGTTTGTTGTCACCGATTGTTTTGTTTGATTTTGCGAAGTTATTTTAAAATCACATTTTTTTTGTCAGTACAAAACGCTAAACATTAAAAAACTTTTTGCATGATTAAATATTAACTAGGCTCTGTGGGTTAGTAAATAATATATATTTTTCAAAAAAAAAAAATTAAAACTGCACCCGCCCGCACGTCGAACACCAGACCGTTTTCAAAATGTGCTACGGTGATCTAACGCTGGGTGAAGCCTGCAGGGACTATTTGAACCCTCAAGTCTTCGTGAAAGTAAACAGAAAATTGAAAATGTTCAAATCAAGTTTTATCGCCAAAGTAGCATCTCTGGAAAATCGGAACTGATGCCTAACGGCAAAATAGCGACCTGCCATGGCCTGATCGGACGGGAAAACGCTTGAAAAGACACAATTTATTTTGACGTCGTCTGCATCTCTGTCTAAACATCGGATGTACTTCAGGTCTCTCTCGCACCGAAAAAATTCGATTTTCGGCGAGGACTCATTTTAAAGAGGAAATTTCTCTTAGAAGATGCTAAGGAATCACCTTCAGAATACGTTTGGATAAAGGAAGGACCGAAGGCCCTTCGGCTCGCTCGGAGGAAAGCCTTTGATAATACCGTACGCCTGTTTTCGCGGCCGAGTTGGGAGTAAGAGTAACCTACAGTCTTTAATATATAAGGATTTTAGCAAATAGGCCAACCAGCAATACATTTTTATAGATTTTATTACACAGTTTGTCTAAATATGATTCAATACACAAATAACAGACTTTCCTCCATTCTAACACACATTTTCTATAAAATGGAGTTGGTTTGAAACTGAAATTACTTTTTGTTGTAAAGAAATTTGTAATTTGCCACAAACGGCATCGTAAATTACAAATTTCTTTACACCAAAAAGTAATTTGAATTTCAAACTAAGTTCGTTTTATAGAAAATCTGCGTTAAAATGGGGGAAAGTCTGTTGTTTCTGCATTAATTCATATTTAGACAAACTGTGTAATAAAATCTATAAAAATGTATTGCTGGTGGCCTATTTGCTATGGAGCCCTCTTCATGAAAATTAAAAGGTATTCGACATTATTTATTTAAAGCACTGTGTTTAGTTTGTGAATCAGCGTCAATGACGTTTGAAATTGATGTGATACGACAATAGGGCGCTGGATAATTCGACAATACATGAATGGCCGAATATGTCGCCGCTTCATTTTATTACATTTATTTTTTTTCCAGTTTATCAGTTTACTAGGTCATTTTACGACTTTCTCTGTGAACTATTAGTTTGTTGTTAAATTAAGTTTAATTCAAAGTGGTATTCCATGTAAATAAATGTATGACATCATAGTTATTTATTTTAATGTTTCGTGACGGTATGTCGTGTTTGTGTGTCTTCGTTGTTAAATTTTGAAACGTATATAATCAAGAAAGATGAGATTTAGCAGCAATGAGAGCCATAGCACCAAAAAATTACGACAAAAAGTTAAAAAAAAAAGTTTTCCCGACGAAATTAAAAAAATAAATAAATATGACCCAAATTCAAAGTTACACTCTCTAAGTATTTCAATATTTTATCCGAAATTCCGAGATCACATCCTCCATTGAAAAAAGGTAAAGTATTAACCGTTTCCCATTCCAATCGATAAATGATATTTTCCGGGAGTTAAAAAAATACGTCAGCCCTCAGCTTAAACCTAGGACGTAACAGATCCAGAGCCCAGATGTAATTATCACGAACTGAACTTTGTTATCTTATGAGAAGAGAGAGCAAGTCGATTTCAACAGCCACCGTTTTGAAACTTTCAAAGACTTTAAACCTAATATCGTAAAATAGCATTTCTGGATCACATACTGTGTCTCCCCCCGCACACGCCGCACCTCACACCGCACCAATGGCATATCTTGAGGGGCGGGTACAGCCACAAACACGGCACGAATATCGACAGGAAAGTCAAGCAGCACCACCTCTTCGTGCAATTCTCATCGTCCGTACAGTCACAGGGGTGCTGTGCGAATTCGCCCTCCGCGTCCGATGCGCAATGGTAGCAGACGCACTGCGCGCAACCCAGGCAGGTGATCGCGTTGATCGTGGACCTGACTACGTCGGGAGCGTACTCGCACGCTCCCCTCGGGTTCTTGTCCTCCACGTAGAGTTCGTTACAGTGCCGACACCTCACCTGCGCCTTCGACTTGTGTTTGATTTTGAGTGGGAGGGGGGGTTGCTGCGAGGGGTTCATCTCCATGCCCAGGCCGCACTTCTTCAGGCTGGACGTGGAATCTCGACGGAGGAGTGAGGGCTTCTGCTGGTCTTCCGCTGGGTAGATGTATTCGTGTACGGCCGTTAGCTGGACGTAGGGGTAGTTTTCACCTGCAAAAGTTCGTTTTGTACGACCGAACCTCATGAAGATGTGTCGTAAATAAAAAACACCTTCATGAGGTGCGTATTTAACCGGAAATATACTACGTGACATTAAAAACGTACCATACATAAACAGTTGGGCCCTGCGATTGTGCCCTCAAGATGAAGCACAATTTTATTTTTAAATCGATGAGGAAATGTTACAATTTCTTTGCCACATAGTATATGTAATTTTATAACTTTATCCGTTTGTTTTAGTGGTTGGTGTGTTACGCAGCCACACAAACAAAAAGTTGTCTGTACTTTTCACACGACATGTTACCCGTAACATTTTTGCCCCTTGATCACGAATCCGATGTCAAAATTGAGTTATTACATCACAGGAATTTCCTAACCTCAAAAAAACAGGTCAAAAATAGGAAAAATTTACGAGTGCTAGGAAAAATACAAAAAAATTTTTTTCTATATTCAAATGTTTATTTATATGGATGGGAAGACCCCGCCGAACATGAATACGCGGTCAGAATTGAAGGTTCTTTTTCTAACCTCAAAAAACGGGTCAGTCAGAATATCACGAATTTTCAAAAAATAACAGATTCGCGCCAAAGTTGGTATATGGGGGTTTTCGGGGTCACTTTTTTGTATTTTTTCCTAGCACTTTTTCGTGAATTTTTGCTATTTCTGACCTGCTTTTCGAGGTTAGGAAATTCCTATGATGTGATGGTTCAATTCTGGATTCATGATCAGGAGGAAAAAATACTATGGGTAACATATGTCGCATGAAAACTTTTCTTGTGTGGCTGTGCTATCAGACTATCTTAATGCTTGGTTAATTACTACTACAAATAATATCTGAATAATTTGGTTAGCACATAGAGATAAATAAAAATAAAAACAAATAATTACCGAATTGTTATTTTTTATATTTAGGATAATCTGCAAAAAGTAAAAAAAAATTAGGAAAGGCATTTAAAAATTAAGCAAAATAAATAGATGAAATAAAAGCAAGTGTAATTTATACATGCAATTTTCTACATGCCTTTTTTTAACAAGTAGCAAAGATACCAAACTTCCAAAGAAAACACATAATATTTAAATACAAACATTGATTTTGTTCAAAGAAAAATTGTGTGTTTCTAAGTCCTTATCACGTTCAGAAGATTGTTGCGTTGCTTGGGTCATTTCATACTAAAAAGCCTTATTCAACCAAGTACACTAGTTTTTGGGATACGTGGTGTAAAAGATTATAAAAAATATCACGTTTATGCAAATATCTCTAAAGATGATTAACGTGGAATGATGAAACTCGAAAACAAGTGATTGTTTTTGTGTATAAAATGATACAAGAAACCACCTAATTTATGATATGGACTTAGAAAACATCCTCTATACTGACATAAAAAAAATATCTGAATAAAAATTGTTAAATTTGTCACTGTTTAAAATATTTCTTTTTTTTTAAGCAGTACAATCCTTTCGGAAGGTGTGTACAACAAACACGTTTTTAATGATATCTAGATACACAAAAAATTACCTTTTCCGCCTTTATTTGGATCATAAGTAGGCTGCCGAGGTTCTAATGGTTTATCACGTCCGATGTAAGTTATTCTGTGGAGATGTTCGGTGCCTTTAGTGCTCGAGTCGCTCGAACTGCGGGAATCTTTAGGATCTTGAGGAAGATCCAGCGTCTAGAAAAATTTACGTTCTCAGTACATTTGATTGAGGCAAAATATTTTAGCAACTGAGAACACAGAAATCGTAAATCATGTAGTTTTTTTTACTAAAAAAAAAATTCTAGATACTTTCGTTTGATTAAAATGGATTTGTAAAAACTCAAATAAGTTGTTAGGGCACAATACTGTGGCGAAAACTAACACATCTAAAAATTATGACAGTTCCAATATGCTAAGAGGAACAGGAAAGTGGCAAGAAAGATACCTACCATGAAGACATCGTCGTCACCCACATCTTTAGGACATTTTGGCAACGGAGAAGAGGGAGAGGTGTCCGCAAAACCTGAAGAATAAATGTTTGCCATTTAAAGCTGTCTATTTTGTATTCAATATATTTTTTAAATTTCCTTTATATAACTTTTCAACAGAATTTTGATAATAATCTTTTGTATTCATTAACATTTTTTAGAATTATTTTGAAAGTATATTGTTAAATTATTAATTTTTTAAATTATTCAGTGAAAAATACAGAATATATTAAGCCGCCTTCACAACGTTCGACAAGCAAATCGCCCATAAATCAATTTGGCAGGTGACGAAAAGTACACGCTACTTGTGGTTGAATCAAAGCAGGATAGTGACAGCATTTAAGAACGATTCGCTTGCTGAATCTCATGCTGTGGGAAGACGCCCTTAGGTGAGCCGATAATGATAATAGACTACTTGCATAGAAGAAAAACTAATCAGACATTAACTATTATTAAACCGTTAGTTGACCAACTCAATGCGAAAAAGGGTGACCAAGACAACACTTGCGTTCCATTGTTAGCTATTAATAAAATAAATCAAGACAAGCGCTCAAGACATCAGTTTGAATAATACACAAGTGTAATAGTTCATTTAATAGTCCCGCAAGGCCTGATAATACGATAAACTCGTCAAACCACATAAAATAAATAAAACGTCTAATGCAGATAAGGATAAACCAATTAAAGCAATTAAAAAAAAATTAAGATCACTTAAAGTGTTCTAAATATAGAAAAGTACATGACGGGTCACAGCATGCACGCCACACTTAAGACAATAAAAAAAAGAGTACGTATAAGTAGTGCAACTCACCATGTAGGAATCCCGTAGTAGAAAGGGAAGCATTGGAAAAGATACAAATAGAGCAGATAAGAAATATTACTTACATCCTACATACTGAGCGGGGTTAATAAATTTAATTAGGTAGGTACATTTATTTTGGGAGATAGCCGGTTTATGCATCGTTATACCGACATGATAGTGTTTTTTATTAGGAAAATACATCGTCCGGAAGCAGCATTTGTACAATTATTCGGGGTCAGAGAATTTTATTATTAATTACATTCTAATAGTCAAATTTTTCTTCTTTTTTTAAGGTAATTTCAAAATTACTAAACAGTAAACTGATACCTTCGATATATTTTACAGAATTCACTTCTATGTACAGCTGCGGAAAATAAAAAGTTTTTACTCTAAACTGTTTATAGCATTTCATAAAACAAGGTGTTATTAATTTTGTATTAGTTTTTCCCCTCGAAACTCTACAATAGGCAATTCATAAGACAATTACTCAACTTTGTCACAGGCAAACGGGTCTATAAATTGTTTAGAATAACTAAAGGATATTATATTAAATACATAAACTTTTAAAGGACGCTGTTACGCTAAGAAACTATAAAAATGTTTTGGATTGGCTATAAAATCTAATAATTTATCAACCATGAAAAATTTTGAGTTTGCCTTTCGAGAATCTGGGAAGAAGTTTTATCAGGTGGCTGAAAAAATTTCTATGATCTGCTGAATACTTCGATTTGGAGCTAGAACGGAACAAAATTTGCCGAATTTTAATGAAACTATTCATTGATTCATCTAATTGTAGAAAACATTCGTAAGTTGGTTTACAAATATATCGACCAGTGATGGAGGTAAGGGGCGTACGTGATGCCACCGGCAAAAATGGTATATAAATTCGAGTTAAGGAACTCCTCTTACCGTCCAGCAGATCTTCCACAGCGGTCCTCACCCCCTTATCGAAAGCGCGCGCGTCCGCAGCCGCCTGAAAGGTCAGTCCGAATTTTTTGTCCCCGGTTTTCCAGTGGTGAAAAGTTGGCATCACTTTGTTGTACTCAAAGTCCTTTTTGATGGTGCAACTCAAGACAATCTGCAAATGAAGCCGCACATTAGAAAAAAAACATGACTTTCTTCAAAAAGATGCAATTGTGTCAACTATTATCTCGAATACAGGTACTCAGTAGCGTCCATACTCTCAGTTACGTCTCTGTGTTTAGTAAATATAGAGATTCCCTTTAATAATTACACTGTACCTAATTATTTGACCTCCGTTTAGTGTTTACGTACAAATTTTGGTTATTTGTAAAATGTGGATATACCACAAATAAATAATTACATGGATAATTGCTTTTCTGGTTGCATTTCTGATTGGGCAGGAGTTTTACATGTATCCACTACATTTTAACACATTTACTTTCCAAATATGTTGGTAAATTTCGGTATCACATATCCTTAAATTTAACAGACGATAGAATACATTAAAATAAACAAAAAACCTTATATGTCATGGCTCCTAAACTCAAGCATTTCCAAGAAAAAAATTATCAAAGTCTCCAACTTGATATGTACAAAAGTTCGATTAATTAAGGAATAATGACATAACTATGTGCATAGAAACCCATAAAATACAATCTTTATCACTTTTTGAACTTCTTTATGCTTAATTCTAAAAAATAATTAGCGTCGTAATAAATTTAAAATTCGATAAAATTCATATCAAGCAATGTGACAACGGCGCGGCGGTTTATTAACACGAAGTATTAAGGTGTCCAGCAACCACCAATACGCAATTCAGTTGGTATCTGGATTCGACCGTGTCGGAGTGTTTTTTGCGTACCACTATGTCCTTAAGTGCAATTATCCAATTGCACAATTGGATTCGAAGGTGTCGTGCGTGAATCGAAAATGGTAATGGACATGTTGTAATTTGTTTTGTATTTGTGCGTTTAAAAATTACTGAATTTAGCTTTTTGGTAAGTACCTAAATTATTTTTAATACGATGAATATTTGGATGATCTGAATCTTTGGGTACTTTAATTACATATTTTTCAAATACGTAATTTGATTAAAAGTTAAGTTCCTGTTTTGAGAGATTCATAATTACTAAAATTCGAGCTAAAATTTAAGCACAACACTATCTTCGTACTACAAAATCGATACACTTTATTTCACTTATTTAAAAACTGGAAAACAATTGTCTTAAAACTTGCTAAATGATTAACAATAATAGCTGTTTACATTTCTTCCGTAGGACAAGACTGCCGCGCATACACGTGGTGTGCATAAGCAGGTTAAGCACTGTTGTCACGTTGTGATGAAACTCCCCAATATTAATACTGGCTGTATTTTGAAAACTATTAATATTTTGGTTTTAATATCCATAATGTTTTTATTCAATTTTCTTACATTTTTCCAGGTTGTTTCCTACATTTTGTCTAAGGTATAAGTTCTATGAGTTTCCATCAATCCATTTTATCAATTTACAAGATTTTTGGTTCAGGAGAAAATTACATTATTTTAATGAGCTAATACAAACAAATATATAGAACTATGAAATAAATTCTAATAGTGTTATTTAATAATAGTATGCAGAATCAGCAAATAAATATTCTGACTGAAAAAAATTTGTATCATCAATTCTGATGTAATTTTTTGTATTAATTTCACTGTTAGTTGAACAGTACTAATTGTATGTAGGTACTTGCCAAAAAGAATTACATATTTTGATTATTATGTATATTTTTATGTAGAAGTAAACCAAATTTATTCGAGTCCGAGGGTAGGATGCGTAGTAACAAAATAATGAATTTTGTGCAGTTGTGTACACTTTGTTTTGAACATATTTTGTTTTTCTTTTTTTTTTTTGAAAAGTGAAATTCAAAAATATCTTATATTCGTATCTTAAAATGTAACACAAAAAAATAATTTTTACACCATAAAAACATGTAATAAGTCCTAATCTAAATATAACATAAATATTTGTATAATTCCTATATACATATTAAAAACACTATCCATATCACATTTCGAAAAATGTTCTTCTACCTTTGTTCTTAAAAAAATCAGAATTGACTAAAAAAGAACAATTTGTCGCAACAGAAAAAATTGTAGTGTTCAATGGGTTAATAAGATCCCTTTAATGCTTTTTTCATACATTTTCTCCTAGTTTAATAATTACAAAGAAAAAAATGTTGTTAACACAAGACAATATTTATTTTAAAATAGGTACTAAATTAAAAAAAAATCCAATTTTTGCAATTCTAAAATTAAAAAAATAAATTTTCTCTACTCTACTAAAACAAGCGGCGAATTACAGATAGAGGAACCAGCAGGACAAATTTATTAGTTTTATTGGTTAATACAGATTACTAATCTGGATTCAAACTGATTAAAAAGGAACAATATTCGTCTCTAGTTCGCCTACTGAAATCTCTACCAAAATTAATCCACCAAAATCGCGTTATTTTTAAAGCTTGTCGATCGCAAACACCTTCATTTCGTTCACGATATGACGACCCGCTCAAAAGCAAACAAGACAATAAAAAATGAATAAACCATTAAACACGTTACTGTTGTCGCAATACGCCGGTGTGTTAATGAATAGCTGCTGTATCTGAAAAACAGGAATCGGAGATAAGCAGCGAAACTATTATAAAAACCTTGGTACAGTCACTCCGAGTCAGTCAGTCGAGTGCTTTGGTGAGAATAAACCGTTAGTGAAATGGCGCCCAAATTATACTTCGCCGACGTTAGTCCTGCCGTCAGGGCTTCCCTTCTAACAATCAAAGCCCTTGGGATCGAAGTGGAACTAGTGCCGGTTAACCTGATGGCCGGGGAACACATGAAACCGGAATACCTGAAGCTCAACCCCCTGCACACGGTGCCCACGCTCCAGGACGGCGACTTCGCTATCTTCGACAGCCACGCTATCAACACCTACTTGACGGATAAGTACGCCGCGAACGACGCGCTGTACCCGAAGGACCTTCAGCGTAGGGCGGTGGTGAACCAGAGGCTCTACTTCGATTGCGGCATCCTGTTCCCTAGGGTGTCTGCCATCGTGGGGTCCTTGTTGAGAGAAGGTGCTAAGTCAGTCAGCAAGGACAAGGCCGATCTGCTCACACAAGGTCAGATTTTAAGCAATTAATATTGCCTAGTGGAGTGTGGAGTGATTCAGGCTTTTGTTGTCGTATTATGCAATGCGCAGTAGGCGTGTACAGGGAAAACAAATGATAAAATGAAAGTATTAACAAACGAGTAAGTTTTATAGCTTACAAAGGCATCAACAATACAATTGTTGTTTGTGGAAATATTATGTAGGCTATCTGTAGTCCTGGCTTCAGTTAAAACAGACTAGTAAATATTTAAAAGGTGAAAAACACACCTTATCTATATAATGTAATTATAAATGTATCTACAGATAACGCAGATACATTATTTTTATAGTGAAATGTGATTTTTCCTCAGGGATCATTTACAACTAAAATCTTTGACTTTTTTAAGTAATAATCGTAAAAACATTTGGACGATCCAGCTACGATAAAAGAATATTTATTTGAATTTGTGTCAGTGAAAAATCAGTTTTAAATATTTGATATCAATAGTCTCATCTGAAATAACTTTTTTCTGTAGGATATGCTTCCCTGGAAACCCTCCTGGAAAGGAGCACATACGTGGCAGGAGATCAGCTCTCCCTAGCGGACTTCAACGTAATCGCTACAGTGTCCAGCGCCAACGTGCTGGTGCCCATCGCCTCCAATAGATTCCCTAAGATCGCCGAATGGATGTCCAGGATGCAGAGCCTGCCTTACTATGCCGAGGCCAATCAAGTGGGCTTGGATAAATTCGTGGGAATGGTCAAGAGCAAGCTCAGTTGATTGTATAAGTGCCATGTAAAAATAACTTTTATATGTATTTTTTTTCCAATTGTTACAAAATAACTTGTAAATTTTTGTGCAATAAACTTCTTTAAACAACATTTTTGTTATTATAAAATAATAATAATAAAATCTTAACTTGTCAAAACTAAAGTCTGTGTAAGAAATACATATTTTTTTCTTAAGAAGTTCAAGTTCTAAGAGCAGCCAAAAACAAAAAAAATGTTTGTCAAAGAAGTTACAACGAAGCCCTAAATAAAAATTTTATAAGGGTAAAAAATGTCTGACTTAAAAAAATATCCTTAAATCAGAAGCGTGAGCAGGAAAAATTAATGAGGTTAATGGGTACTCCCCCTTCGATTTTTTTTTGTCAAAATTACACAAAACGTGTCAACATAAGGTAAAAATCTGGGCAAAATTTCAACTGATTGCACTTAAAATTCAACGAGCTTATTAATAAAAATATATTTTTTTAATTTGTAATTGACACCCTGTTAGGCCAGGAAATATAGAATTGGACTTTTTGTTCCGGCAAGCTGAATTTATCACTATAGATGCTAAATATTATGTATAATTATTAAATCAGTTTGCACAGTCATAAAAATGGGGGGAAGATTATTTACAGGGTGGTTAATTGTATAATTTTTACGTAAATTCACGTTTTTCGCTTATAACTTTTTTCCGTTCATTTCCACGAGAAAACAGTAAAGTACTTTTTTTGTCTTCAGAAGACCTACAAAACTAGTCTAGATCAAAAGTTATAAACAGAAGTTTATTTATGACTTTTGAATTAAACATTTATAAACTCCGTTATTATTACCAGAACGCTTTGGCATCGCATCCTCTTATTCCTTATCACTGTCTAATAACTCACACGAAATCTGGAATCGGTAAGTTGAATAGTTTACAAGTTATGGCCTTATAAACAAATGAACTAATTATTAGTCTGGACGATCCCGAGGATCTTCCACAATCGTACTGATTTTTTTCATGGTAGATTTCATAATAATAAATTGAAATCTATCGTTTTTTTTTTTAAATTTCATATTTGCAACCTGGAAAGGTTTTTTATTTTTTAGTCTGTTGCAAAATGAAATGTACGACGCACGAGCGTGATATAGTTATATATTATTACATATTCGGAAAGTTTATGAAACGCTTTATGAGAATTCCCGGAAAATTTTAAAGCTAGTTTTTTTTAACTGAAGATACGAGAGTATTTTAAGATATTTTCTATTACAGACAGATTTTGCGAAATGGCTGATAAAGAAACAGAATTGGGGTTTTTACTTACAATTAAATACTTTCATTCCCCAATGCGGTTTTTTTATTTTTCAATAATCGATAACATTCATGCTATAAGTTTTACCACAGAGTCCACAGACAATATAGCCTATAGAACAAATAGAACAAAAGATAAGTTCCATATAACGCTTCAATTATATTGTTAAATGCATTACATTTATTTATAAGTCCAGTTATTACTTGGCAACAATGCCACCGCCTCCTATTACTGACTAGAAGAGTTATCATGCTAAAAGTTATTGCTGGATGACAACTGAGAAATTTGGGTTGCCAATTTCCGGTACTTAACCGCGATCTGGAGCGATAAGCTATATTATCTGTGGTTTTACCTTGCAGTGCTTCTTAATAAACAATTTTTATTTAGTGCTTATCAATATTTACATAACAGTACGCACAATCTAAACATAACTAATATATTTTCGGAGAATACCAACACAATGCAAATTATTTACTTGATGTCTCACTATGACTTAACATTTTATTTTCGATATCATCACTTAACAGTTTTACTTTTATTAACTTATTTCAAAGTTTTAGCGAATCACGTAAATACAATACGATATCAACTCGTGAATAGTCACATCTAAAATCAACTTCTTTCTGTAGGATATGCTTCCCCGGAAACTCCTCGAAAGGAGCACATACGTGGCAGGAGAGCAGCTGTCAATAGCGGACTTCAGTGTCGAACGCCAACGTGCTGGTGCCCATCGCCTCCAAAAAATTCCCTAGGATCACCGAATGGATGTCCCGAATGCAGACCCTGTCTTACTATGCAAGAGCCTGCTCAGTTGATTGTATAAGTGCCATGTAAAATTACCTTTTATCTGTATTTTTTTCAAATTGTAATAAAATAATTATTGCGTAAGAAATTTACTTAAACAAAATTTTTGTTATAATAAAATATGTAATAGTAAATCGTAACTTTATTTCTCTTCACAAAATAAGAAAAGGGCCTCCAAACATCGTCCATAACTTCTCTAAATATTTTTCTTCTTCCTCCTCTTCTCCCTAAACTAGTTACCAGTTATATGTTTTTATATTAATTATATTCAAACATACCATTTTTGGTTTTTATTTTGGATATTATTTATTTCTTTCTTGCTACTTCTGTTTGCCTGTTTTCCAACATATACCACTCAAGAGTAAGGAAAAATTATACAACTGAGCTCAAATACTTTCCTCCTAAGGTATAAGGCGGAACCCCCATAACGTGTGGCACTTGTAGCTTCCTGTCTATATGAACACTTTATTTAAAATAACTGCCTTGATAAAATACTATTTCCTGAGATTAATATGCGACTTGATGATAAAACCCGAAAAAATGAGTCTATTAGTGGAATTTAATTGTGCAACAGCCACACATACCACATCCTGTGTGTTCCGTTCCAGCTTGGTCGATCTGGGGAAATTTATAAAACGAAATATAGAAAGTTATCTTGAAATACACAGTTGAATATTCATTAACAAAAAGCAATGTCTTATTGATTCATAATTGTAATGACACAGCAATATGCAGATGCACTCATTATTTCTATTTTCGAACAAAACGGTTAGCAACATCCTATTTAAATATGGTTAAACTTATTTCTCTTTCTTCCTCAACGTTATGCCACCTGCTAAGCATAAGCTTGTCAACGGTCTCAACTTAGGATCTTATCTGCTCCAAACGATCCTACCAGATTCTTCAGACTCAATCCAACAGATTGAATCTATTAGAAGAGAAAATCAGGTACATGCATGTTTGCTTTCCAAAGGGACACCTTGAACATGTTCATTCGCAATTAAGTATACATTTTAATGACGACAAAAGTAACTGATTAATATCCAACTAGCCATTAAAACTTATGTGAAAAAAGTAAGGTTATGAATTAATTGCTGTACTATTTAAACAGAACCAGAGCGTTAGACTTCAGTGTGATTGAAATATGACGCTGATACTCTACGGTCCCTTCGGCAGCCCCACCATGAGGGCGTCTGTCATGACCGTCAAAGCCCTTGGAATCGACGTAGAGTTCGAGCAAGTGAACACTTTGGCGGGGGATCATCTGAAGCCAGAGTATTTGAAGCTCAACCCCCTTCACACGGTACCCACCCTTCGAGATGGTGATTTTGTTATATGGGACAGCCACGCGATCAACGCGTACCTGGTAGGGAAGTATGGGAAAGACGATTCGCTTTATCCCAAGGACCTTCAGAAGAGGGCAGTGGTTGACCAAAGGATGTATTTTGACACGGAAGTCCTGTTCACTAGATTCAAATCTAATGTCGCTCTGTTAATATTCAAAAATGTTAAAATTAACAAGGACATGGTCGCCGACTTTGAGAATGGTGAGAAAATCTTGCAAGATCAATCTACCGTTTATTACTGCAATTAAAATCTTTTCTCGAAAAATACTAAAATGTTTCATAATTTGAAGTCCGTAAAATCCAGTATGCATTGCAAATTTTGAATTAAAAAAATGATTTTATTTACCAGTAATGTCTTTTGTGTAAGAGACATCACAAAATATACTTCTGCAAAAAATTGAGAGCAAAAAAATTTTTCGAATTTTTAGTGATTTTTCATAATGCTGTATCTCAGTCAAAAATGATCGTATCAAGGTTTTAAAAAAAGCATTTTAAAGCGCCGAATGTCTAGTTTCCAGATTTCTCAATTCAAAATTTTTAGGAGCGACAGTCATCGCGAAATTCTAAGAAATAAGACTAAAAAAATGTCTTTTCAATTTTTTGCGTTTTTTATTCTCGGTTCACGGGCTTAGAAAAATTGTTTACACAAAAATCATGATATGGACTTGATAGCCTGTTCATTCAGCTTTAATTTCTTTTTTAAAATTTTTCTGTACGTTAATTTGACCCGGAGATATTCGACTACGAATACAAAAGCATCCTTTTGGCTTTAACCATCGATATCTCAGCAACAAATGATCAGACAGAAAATTGACGGGCAGTTTCGAAATCTGGAATAAATTTCCTACAAGGCTATGTAGCGTTCCTGGAAGAAAAAAAAATTCTTTCATCCTCGACATTAACTTGAAAAAATTGAAAAAAAGTGACTTTTTGACTTGTTTTGCTAAGTCGACCGCATCTTTGCTAATATCGATGGAGAGTCTAATGCTTGTACGAATTTTTACACCTCGATGTACCCCCAAAAGCTCCGTAAATGGGCAGATCGATCTATCGAACGGTTTTTCCGGACCGCTTAATCAAAATTTCAGAAAAATTTAAAGGAGCAAAATTTACATTTCTGAGCACCCTGTAACGTTCGTAAAAATGAAAAATTTGATTTTTTTT